AGAGAGAGAGAGAGAGAGAGAGAGAGAGAGAGAGAGAGAGAGAGAGATAGAGAGATAGATAGCAAATGAATTTATTCCTATGGGTGTTTTTAGCTAAAAAATAGCTGAAGGGGCCAGAACTGGCAAAAATAACCCCATTGTAAATTGTGGTCATGTGATTGCAGCATGCTGCAACCGGCCATAAAATTGAATCACTTTGCAAGGCACCCAAAATGCAGTTACGTATGGGGGTTCAACCACTGGAACTCCAGAACCAGTTTGCTTGGGTGATAGGTGTCATAACTTCAAATAATCACTAAACCAGTTGTTAAACGAGGAAGACCTGGGAATGCATAGATGATTACGAAGTGAGCTCGTTTGGAAGTGATCCCCAAAATAGCGTGCTGTATTTCCCCAGGTTTTTGTAAGGTGAAACCATATTTGCAAAGTTGCAACATCCAAGAATTCAAAAGCATCTCCAAGGGATTCCTAACAGATTTTACATGGAAGAAAAATTAAACAACGGATTAACCGGCATGTACTGGTATCCAACGTCGGGGAAATATCGGGCCAAATTAATACAAGGTGAAAGATCTTACTTGCAGCTGGGATCCTTTTCCAATTTGGCTGCAGTAAATTAGATTTGCATGGAGACATTTGAACGTTTCTCCAGCGGCCCCAGCAAGGCCAGGTTGTGAGTCACACCAGGCTCCGATTGTACCTGCTCACAAGGAGCCAATTAGACGAACACAATAGCTCATATGCTACTGAGCTGCATAAATTATGGAGATACGTTATTAGGAAATATCACACCTTGTTAGGCTAAGACTTAAGAAGTAGCAGGGAATGCTATATTATATATGCTCAATCTGTTACTTTTTCACTACTGGGGAAAAAAAAATAGGGTAGTGATCTTTTATACCAAAGCAATTGTCTAAATCTGTGTTGCTGGAAAATGTGTGGACTTCAACTCCCAGAATTCCCCAGCCAGCAAAGAATTCTGGGAGTTGAAGTCCACGCATCATCCAGCTGTAACATCCAGAACAACATCTCTAAATAATTGCACCTGTCCCTTTGTTGGATTTTAAGTGCTGGCTAATTAATATCAGCTACCTAGCAATCGGTCTCATTCATTTCCTGCTTCAGCAGGAGACGCAAACTGCAGAGTGCCATACATTGGTTCTTTGCATATTGATTTTGAGTCTGGCTAATCTAAAGAAAAGAAGAATTACGGGTGAGCAGTATTTCAGTATTTGAGAGGCTGCCACAAAGAAGAGGGGGTCAAGTTATTCTTCAAAAAGCACCAGAGGGCAGGATAAGAAGCAATGGGTGAAAACTAATCAAAGAGAGAAGCAATCTGGAATTAAGGAGAAACTATCATGAAAACAATTAACCAGTGGAAAAGCTTGCCACCAGAAGTTGTGGCTGTTCCATCACTGGAGGTTTTTAAGAAGAGATTAGATAGTCACTTGTCTGAGATTGTATAGCTTCTCCTGTTTGAGCACAGGGCTGGACTAGAAGACCTCCAAGGTCCCTTCCAGCTCTATTCTAAGTTAATTCTAAGATTGTCCTGCCATATGGTATGTCCTGTTTTACAGAGTATTATATAGATAATCAACTCCATGGCCAGTGTGTTTATATGTGACCATCTATTACAACTCTTAAATCCTTTGTGGATGTTGCCCAGGGATTTCCTGGTCAAGTTTTAGTTGCTACCGATATCACACATGGAGAACAACCTTGGCTTCATCCGACTTGGGTCTCTTTTCTTTTTCAATGTCTCTTTCTGTATGTAGGTTTTGATGCCATGGCGAGCATTGGTGGTGATGGCAAAGCTTCCATTCAAGGTATCTTAAACCCTATTTTGTCCTTAGCCTTCTTGACTTAGCAATCAGGTGCTGTTTTTCTTAGTATAGTCCCATCAAGCCACCTGCAAAAATTCAGGTGCAGGCCCTATTATTAGTCGGGTGCTCAGTAAAGGAAAAGGTAAAAGGTTCCCCTCATATATACGTGCTAATCATTTCTGACTCCAGGGGGCGGTGCTTATCTCTGTTACAAAGCCGAAGAGCCAGCGCTGTCCGAAGACGTCTCCACGGTCATGTGGCTGGCATGACTAAACACCAAAGGCACATGGAATTCTGTTCCCTTCCCACAAAAGGGGTCCCTATTTTTGTACTTGCATTTTTACATGCTTTCGAACTGCTAGGTTGGCAGAAGCTGGGACAAGTAGCGGGAGCTCACTCCCTTACGCAGTGCTAGGGATTCGAACCACCAAACTGCCAGCCTTTCCGATGGACAAGCTCAGCATCTTAGCCACTGAGCCACTGCATCCCTTCCCAAGTGATCAATACAGTATCCCTTAACTTGACAACTTTAAGACTTGTGGACTTCAACTCCCAGAATTCCCCAGCTAGCTATGCTGGCTGGAGAATTCTGGGAGTTGAAGTCCACAAGTCTTAAAGTTGCCACGTTTGGAGACCTCTGCCTTAACGGAATAACAGAATTGGAAGGGAACTTGGAGGAACGTAGCTTAATAAGTGTAGACCAAAATTGAACATGCTGCTTTTTTTAATTCTTAATTTTGCACATGTATTTTGCCTGAATGCAAATTACATCAGCCTGAAGCTTTGCAAGAATGAATTTTATCTCTTCCCATCACTGCTGTTATCCTGGGATGAGTTTTACAAGATACGTGCAGCAGATAAAAAAGAGGATTTGAGCTGGGTTTGCAAAACACATTTAACTTGGTTCGTGAGTTTGCATCTCATGCCGAATCAGCGTATCCCAAGCTTTCTGAGTGAACTAAATTGTACAACCTGCTAAGTCACACCTAAAAGAACAGTTGCACAAAGGCAGATTTTGGATCTTGAACTTATCAGGCCGAGCACAGTTAAACCTCAGATCGATTCAGAATACAGGGTAATAGAGTTGGAAGGGACCTTGGAGGTCTTCTAGTCCAACCCCCAGCTTAATCAGGGCACCCTATACCATTTCAGACAAATGGCTGTCCAGTCTTTTCTTTAAAACCTTCTATGTTGGAGCACCCACAGCTTCTGGAGGCGTGTCATTCCATTGATTAATTTGTAGGAAATTTCTCCTTATACATACCAGTAGTTCTCCCTCAGCCAATCCTTGAGTATTGAAGATTTGTGCTGAAATGCATACAAACTCCAGCTCCTTTGTAGTGCAATGATGGTTTATTTACTAGATCAGCAAACAACAAACTCCTTATCTGACAAGAAAGGCTAAAAGCCAGGCAAGGTTAGTGTTGGGTTTAAGTTTGCTCCCTTTCCTTTTATTACCATTATCATGAGACACGCCCAACCACACCCCGCCACACCCAGGCCAATACGCAGTTCTCGTTCTGGCCACGCCTAATCTATTATCCCTAAATGCTATTAACCCTATGACGTGTCTACATCCCTAACCTATTCCAACCCTCACTAACTGATCCCCACCTGGTGCCACCTTCACCATGTTTTAACCTAAGGATGAATTGCCACCTATATGTGCCCCAATCCCCTCTAACAATATGCATCACATCAATACATGAAAAGAGCCATTTCCAGCAGCCCCGCAGTTGCTTCAGAATCCATCCTGCGTCCCTGCAGTTGCTCCAGAATCCATCCTGCATCGACTTTCAACACCATCGGCCAGCAGAAATACAGATCCGGGGGCAGCAGCAGAGATAAGGTGACATTCTGCATGGCCAGCTGACTTGCTGCGAGGCGAGTTTGGAGCTGACGGGCTCCGTAGCGAACTCAGAGCCTGACATCCACGATTTACACCCATTCATTTAGTGACCAAAGTTAACAACCGAACAGAAAAAAGTAACTTATGACCAACATTCACACTTATGATTGTTGCAGCATCCTCAATCGTCAGGTGAGCAAAATATAGGCTGCGGTGATTCGCTTACCATCCGTGGCAAGGAAGATCGTAAAATGGAGCACATCTCACTGAACAACTTGCTTAGCAATGAATATTTTGCGCCTTGCTTAGCAATGGACATTTTGGGTTCAATTGTCATGAGTTGAAGACTACCTGTATGGGTTTCAGCTTTCTCTTTAAAATGTTTAGCTATCGGCTTGTTACACCAAAAGCAGGCAGGGAATAATTCTCGTGCGTTTCTCTTCACAGGTCCAAGTTAGCTTCAGCTTCCTAGCTGTACAGTTGATCAAACTGAGAGAAGCTAAAAAGGTAACTTGAAGTTGGGGAATGAACTGCGCAATCTGCTTCCTCCTAAAAAAATAGAGCAATAGCCATAACACTTAGACTTATATACTGCTTCACAGTGCTTTTATAGCCCTCTCTAAGCCATTTAAGGGGCGTGCATAAGTGCACCATCATGCCTACTGTCCCTGTCCTATTGTCCCCATTTATTTGTACCTATTTCCTGTATTCTTACTCATGTTTATATTTTACTTATTATCTTGTAAGCCAGTGGTCTCCAACCACCGGGCCCTGGACCAGGACTGGTCCGTGGATCATTTTCTACTGGGCCACCGGTTTGCTGGGTGCCGCCATCTTGTTTCAACGAGAAAGTACTTCCGGGTGAGCTTTTCCGGTTGGAAAGCGGCGTTTGGATCCTGAAGGAATCCTCGCGCCTTAGTTTCATCGAAGGGGGGGGCAGCTTCGAACAAAGAGCCGTCCCGATGGCGGAGGAGATTAAGAAAGCACAAAAAAGCACAAAAAGGGTACAAAGGAGGAGTTGAAGGTGGCGGGGAGAAGCGGGGACAGTTAGCTGGCCAGTCGCTTGGCTCGCCTTGCCTTGGTCATGCGTGCTGATGCCGGTACCAGGCCGTGGATCATTTTGTGATGCCGGTACCGGACCGTGGCACAAAAAAGGCTGGGGGCCACTGTTGTAAGCGATTGACAAATCTAATAAACAAATAAATTTACAGAGTCAGCCTCTTGCCCCCAACAATCTGGGTCCTCATTTTACCCACCTCGGAAGGATGGAAGGATGAGTCAACTTTGAGCCTGGTGGGATTTGAACTGCCAAAGTGCAGGCAGCTGGCAGGCAGCAGAAGTAGCCTGCAGTACTGCACTCCAACAATTGCGCCACTGTGGCTCGTATGCTTTTCTCCCACCCCTGTCGGTTGAGTTTTATGGTATCTTCTTGGAGAAACCCTTTCTTTCCCATAGCAAATGTTCCAAAGAAACTTTCATAAGAATTTGCGTATCATCAGGCCTCAAATCTGTGCTTGCAATGGTACCAGATTTATTTATTTATTTTTAAAAATTGCAGCCTTCTCCTTGGCAGCTCCCGACATCTTCGGTGTCATTCACTCGCCTTTGGTTTCTTTTTGAGCACCCGTGATGGACAGACATTTAGGGGATCTTTTCATGACACTGGAGATGAAGGAAATGGAAGCATTGGTCTAACTGTGGAGTGCAGCCAAAGGCACAGGAGACAGGATGCCCAGACCTGTTGAGAGCCCTGACATTCAACAGTCAATCTAATCTCATTGAAATTGCAAATGTCCAGCCGTGAAAGGGCAGGAGTTCCTTCGAGGATAAAATTATATTCCTCCTCCTCATTAAGAAATCAAGCGAAGGAACACGGCGTTTCCTTACAATCAGCCTAGGTGACAGTCGACTTAGCTTAAGATTGTTAGCAGCAATGGCTGAAATCGCCTGGTGTTTGGGAGACAGCTGTTTCCAGCCTGCCCTGAAACTGTAGGACAGCGTTTCTCAACTTTAACAACGTGTTTCGACTTCAATTCCCCATGCGGTCTGGAGAGTGTCGGAATGGTCATCATTAAACAAACCCAGTTTGCCCCATTGACTTTGCTTGTGGGAACCTGGCTGGGAAGATCGCAAATGGTGATCACATGACAACCAGTGTGGTGACAACCACAGCCGTGAGGGTGCAGTGGTTAGAGTGCAGTACTGCAGACTACTTCTGCTGACTGCTGGCTATCGGCACTTTGGCAGTTTGAATCTCGCCAGGCTCAAGGTTGACTCAGGCTTCCATCCTTCTGAAGTGGGTAAAATGAGGACCCAGATTGTTGGGGGCAAGAGGCTGGCTCTGTAAACAGCTTAGAGAGGGCTGTAAAGCATTGTGAAGCGGTATCGAAGTCTAAGTGCTATTGTTATTGCTATCATCAATACATATTGGTTGCTAAGCAGCTGGATTTTGATTATGTGACTGTGTGACGATGCTGCAGCAGTTGCAAATAGGAAGGCCAATCATGTCACAATTTTCAGTGGTGTTGTGACTTTGAACAGTCATTAAAACAAATGGTTGTAAGTCGAGAACTACTTCTCATGTTTCTTCCTCTTCCATCTTGTCCAGGTTGTCATAGAAACGGATACTTCTTCCTTCGAGCTTGACTTCCTGTCATCAGACGATCTGGAACATGCGGTCAGCCACATGATCACATCACTCAAAAAGGTTTTTCCAGGATCCTCACCTGGGTAAGGAGTTTGTCAGGGATGATAAACCAGTAAAGCTGTCCCAAAGCTGCTTTTTCCAAAAGGCAACTGGACTTCCTTGGTTTTTTTTTTTTCCTTCTTCAAAACTTCTTCAGAAGCTTCTTGGATGAGAAGTTCTTGCATGAAGAAGCTTCTTTGGTTCTGAAGAAGTGAAGAAGCTCCTTGGATGAGAAGCGAAATGTTTCCAAGGAAAAAAAAAACCAAGACAGCCCAGTTGCTCCTTTTGGGGGGACGGGGAGGGGACACCTTCGGGACAACCATGTCCCGGATGATTGAGAGTCTCCATGGACATTCAACCCCTGAAGATGAAATCTAGGCCTGACCATTGAATGAAGCATGACCATTAATACTCCGGCTTTCCAGATCTTGATGACTTAAGACATGCATCCTTCTGCACCTCAGCTGATGATAGCTAGAGTTCTCTCCTCTGTTTTAGAAACTTCTATTGAGAAGAGATGTTTGAGAAGTTGTGGCCAAGGCTAAGATTGAACAGGCTCCCTTTTTAATTATTCAACACAATATTTATATATTCTGATATCAAAGCCATTGTGAAGGAAGAGAAATATAAAAATAACACGCATTTAAAAAAGCAGTAGCTTCTCTCATCCAGCCAGCTCCCCTCTCAAAAGGAAGAAACTCCGAAATAAAATGGTATTTGGCATTTTTTCTCGAATAAAGTTATTTCTTTAATGCTAATTTAATCACCCTCTTGATATTAAAGAGATCTCCTCCAGAACGCCCCTCCCAGCTTGCTTGCGAGAATTCAAGGGATGACCGATTCCTTGGAAGAAGCATGGAAAGAAAGTCCTTGCGGTAATTCAACTCTATAGAAATTAATGGCGGGAAAATATTCCAAGTAATAGTTGATTCAAGGGGCAATTGGAGAACAGTTGATCTAAGTGCACGGTTAGCGGGGCGATAAAGCTACATCGTTTTCCCCTGAAAATGGGATAATGTTCTTGGATAACCCAAGAGCCTCCAAATAGTTGGGACTACGATTTCTTAATACTCCCCCCAAGGGAATTGTAACGGAGGAAAGTCAGCATCTAAATAACCTTGAAGGTAGCATGTACCCATTCCCTTGACTTAATGCGCAACTGTGTTGTTACTGTCTAATCTGAACTTCCGCACACTTTCTGAAGAAGAACTTTATGGTGTGTGCCAAGATCTAAATCACTTTCAGTTTGGAAATACTACTAAGCTATTGTTTCCTTCCAATACTCTACTCTTTGGAAAGCATTTTAAGCAAAGATCTGTCTGCATTCACGTCAGAAGCACCTACAAAGCTAGCCTAAAGGTGCTTCTGGGTTGAATGGATTTGCCAGTGACAATACCATTGCCTAAAGCAGGGGTCACCAACCTTTTGGACCTCAGGGACCACCAAATTCATAATTTTAAATCCCGTGGACCAGAGACCCTGGGAAAAAGTCTGCAGGAAAATTCCCCATCCCATTTTCCTACCGATCGATTATTTGGGATCACAGGATACCGTCTCCAGCTCTGTTCTCAGGGGAGAGAGAGTGGGGGGAGGGAGAGAGGGAGAGAGACAGACAGACAGACAGGCTCTTTTGGCTTCATGCAAGGAAAGCAGCAGAAGCAGCAGAAGTCTTTCTTTCTCTCTCCCCAACTCTGCCAGAAACGAGTCTTTGCCAACACAGCCTCTTGGGGCAGGATGGCTTGCAGGGTCCCAAAGACTCATTTCTGGAAGTTGAAGTCTTAAAGTTGCCAAGTTTGGTGACCTCTGATTAAGCATCTCTTCATGCTTACAGGTGGATTTTCTGAGACCTACGCGGCCCTCTGCGATTACAGTGGGCTTTCTGTCCGAGAGGAAGTCCAATGGGTAAGGAAACAGATGGGTCATTTTTAGCTCAGCCACAAACATCAAAAGAAATTGGGGTTTGTAGAACCATCAGCTTTAGTGTGTTGACACAGAATTCAGGCAAGGACTGCTGTTGGTGAGACTAGAAATCCTACAAAGAGACGTCTTATAGTGAATTTTTCCAAAAATGGAGCCTTTGGGAATGACGCTGCCTTTATAACAGGTTCATTGGTCAACCAGGAAGTTCCTTGAAAGATTCATTTGTCATATATAACTAGACGAAACTTCGTGTTATATACTAATGTAATAAGTGTAAACGATTATTTTACATAATTTGAGAGATGTCAAATTGAGTGAACACTGTCTTGCTCACGTTGCGATAAGCGGACTGTTTAGTTCTATTGTATTTGTGAAAATATGTTTAATAAAGTATTTTTCTAATGGAAAAAAAAAAAAGAAAGAAAGATTCAGGAATAGAGGATTTGGGGATCAGCCTTCTGAAATTGCTGCTTCTGCCAAGATCAACTGCACACAGATTTTCTTTGAGGGAAAGGTGGAACGGATGCTGCCAATTGCTGTGCTAGACCCAATAAGAAACTAGCTCGAGAATGCGGGTGAAAAAAACTAAGCGCTGTGTTTTTATTTCCACATCCTTATTTACAGAAATATAAGGTTTTGGTGGGGTGCTGCTTTTAGCACTTTCCCTGCTACATTTTTAGCCATATACCTGCAAACTGGATGTTCTCCCAGGCCTTCAGATAGGGAATCCTTGGCAGTTTTTTTACAATGTAGGGAGCTGGGTTGTCCAGATTCTTGGGCTCTTCTCTTTTCGTGATTTTCAATTTTGTCTTTTTCTCTCGTAAACAAAGTTGGCCTTTAGAGATCAGGGAGTCATGGGCAGTAGTAATGTAGAGCTGACTCGTATCTGTCAGCAGAGGTGAGTCAGAGGGAGAGGGAGAGAAAGTAACGAACGGTGCGGTGGTGGGATTCGAATTTTTTTACTACCGGTTCTGTGGTGGGCATGACATGGCTTGGTGGGCGTGGCAGGGGAAGGATACTGTAAAATATCCATTCCCACCCGATTCTTAGGGATAGGTTACTGCAAAATCCCCATTCCGCCCCCACCCCATTAACCTGCTTTCCAGCTCCATTCTCCTGTGCAGGGCAACCAAAGAAGACCCAGCCAATCAACTGGGACTCAATGGGAGGCAGAGAAGAGATGGGGGCAGGGCCAGTCAGAGGCGGTATTGGCCGGTTCTCCAAACTACTCAAAATTTCCGCTACTGGTTCTCCAGAATTGGTCAGAACCGGCTGAAGACCCCCTCTAAAACGGCGGGATTCAACCTGACCTGCTTCAGAGGAGGGATGAAATGAATGGCTTGAGGTCAGAGTGAGAAGGGACTTCAAAGATCTTCTAGACCAACCCCCTGGATGAAACCTTTTGCAGACAAGTGGCTGTCCAATCTCTTCTTAAAAGCCTCCAGCGATGGAGCACCTACAACTTCTAAAAGCTGTTCTACTGGTTAATTGTTCTCACTGTCAAGACATTTCTCCTTAGTTCTAGGCTGGTTCTCTCCTTGCTTGGTTTTCATCCATTGCTTCTTGTCTTGCCTTCAGGTGCTTTGGAGAATAGCTTGACTCCTTTTCTCTCTGGCAGCCCCTCCAGTACTGGAACACTGCTATCAAGTCACCCCTGGTCCTTCTTTTCACTAGAAAACCTCTTTTCAATTTTCACTAGGCCGTTTCAAAACAATTGGGCACTCAGCAAAGATAGTCTCCATTCACTGATCACAAATTCTTATTGACAGTAAGAGAAGACATATTATTTTTCCCTTCTCAGGATGTGGATAATATTTATCGTGCCCAGGGATGCAGAGAATTCAACCTGTTGGATTTCAACCACCTGCCCAGCCAGTGAGTTTATATAAAAGAATCCTGGGAGGGGCTTGGATGTGTAAATTGTAGGTTGGAGTTTGTGCAACAGCAATCACAAAAGAGGGTTAAAATAAGTTTAAACACCTGCATTCCTCAATTTCATTTCTTGCTTTAAAAAAAAGTAAGCAGAATTCTAGCCTTAAATGAACTGATTTTATATTCAATGTGTCCATAAACATTTTGTATAGTTGTATAGGTTCATATATGTGCAGTCACACTTATCTTTGTGTGCTCGTGTACATACAGTTTATTGTGTTTTCCATTGTCATATTCATGGATGCCTTGCATATTTGCATGCATATATTTATATTTTACTGTTATTTTGCACTTCTTATTGGATGCTAACTGCATTTCGTTGCCTGTATCCATGGCAATAAAGTTGAATCTAATCTAATCTAAAAATGGGTTGCCCGCAACTTACGACTGCAATTGGGACCAACATTTCTGTTGCTAAGCAAGGCATTTGAGTCACCCCCCCCACTTTAAAACCTTTTTTGCCATGGTCATTAAGCAAATCACTTCAGTTGTTAAGTGAATCACCCTATTGTTAAGCGAATTGGGCTTACTCCACTGATTTTGCTTGTTGGACGTTGGCTGGGAAGACTGCCAATAGCAATCACATGGCTGAGTGCCTGAATTTTTGATCATGGAGATCCTGCAGCGGTTCTTAACTTTGAGGATTGTCTTAAGTCACTTTTTTTTTCTGTACCTTTGTAATTTTTGATCGCTAAGCGGATGATTCTAAGTCGCAACTGCCCGTATTTGTTGAGAGGTCTTTGATCTAAGGTAATACTACAACTTTTTAATTCTCAACCCCTTAGCAAAGTTAAGGAGGGGATCATGCAAATCATCTGTTTGGTTGAATGGGCATCTGAATAGGTCACATAGAGGTAAAAAGAAAAAATCCCATCACATTCCTATTTAACCAAGTAGAAATCATGTTTTATATTTGCAGGATGGCCTAAAACAGAGGTCTCCAAACTTGGCAGCTTTAAGATTTGTGGACTTCAACTCCCAGAATTCCTCGGCCAACATAACATAGCTGGCTGAGGAATTCTGGGAGTTGAAGTCCACAAGTCTTAAAATTGCCAAGTTTGGGGACCCCTGGCCTAAAACCATATAACAGATTAACAGAATAACAGGGATGGAAGGGACCTTTTAGGTCTTCTAGTCCAACCCCTGCTCAAGTAGGTGATCATATACCATTCCAGACAATTGACTGTCCGTTGTCTTCTTAAAAACCTTCAGTGATCCAGTGGTGGGATTCAAATATTTTTACTACTGGTTCCATGGGCGTGGCTTGGTGGGTGTGGCTTGGCGGGCATGGCAGAGGAAGAATACTGCAAAATCCCCATTCCTCCCCCCCCCCACTCCAGGGGGAAGATTACTGCAAAATCCGCCCTCCCCACCACACTAACCTGCTTTCCAGCTCCGTTCTCCTGTGCAGGGCAACCAAAGGAGACCCAGCCAATCAGCTGGGACTTGGGAGGCAGAGAATAGATGGGGTGGGGCCGGTCAGAGGTGGTATTTGCCAGTTCTCTGAACTACTCTAAATGTCCTCTACCGGTTCTCGAGAACTGGTCAGAACCTGCAGAATACCACCTCTGTGGAGCACCCACAACTTTAGGAGGCAACTGGTTCCACTGGTTAATTGTTCTCCCTGTAGTTAGATGAGATTCTTGCTGAACTGCTGTCTTAGCTACAACTCTTTCCAACTGTCACTGAATATTATCTTTGTATATTGTTTTTGTTTTTCTGCAGAGATATTGCTCTTTGTGTGGCCAGCTTATCATTCAATCAATGGTTTACAAAGCTACATTGCAAAGACTTCAAACTGGTGAGTGCAGCAGTCAGCCAAGAGACCCCAAAATACCCCTCCCATCTAAACAGGTTTAATCCTAAACAAATTTTGCACGTTGTATGAAAGCATCTTGATGTGCTGAGATGATTGTGTGACAAGTTTTACAGTCTGCTCTGGCATGAAATAGTTTTTAATGTTCCCATAACCAGGCCAGGATGAGATAATGATCAGAGAGAGTAGATGAAGTTGGATAGAAATGCAGGAAGGGCTTTCAGTCGTGATTATTGATTATTAACCTGCTGTAGACCAGTAAAATGTCAAGAAGTGTCTGACTATTTTTTTATCACAATTTTCACTCTTTTTCGTAACTTGGAAGGAGAACTTTTTCTAATGCTTTCATGTCTTAGCTTTGTCTATGTGTGTCTCTTTTCCTTATAACAGAATCAGGTTATTTTGGAGGAGATCCTTCTGGCCCTAAGAAAATCGGTCACTTTGGAAGAATTGGAACTGGAAAACTGTGGCTTAAAATGGTAAGCGAAGGTGCTTGAACTACACCTTCCTTAGAAATTTAAGAAATAAAATTCTAGCTGCGGTAAAATGTGGAAGCTTTCTGACAATTGAGTTTGTATTAGAGTAGCCGACTAAGAGAGCCAATAATTAAAGCAAACTGTAGAAGAAACACTGCAGTTATTCAGAGGTGAGTAAACTATCTTGGAAAATAACCAAACAAAAGAACTCCGACCCACAAAAATATAACAAAACCAAGCTATTTAATGAAAGAGAATGAATGATTGCTATTAGTAGAAGACGCAATAAAATTTATATACTGGCTGAGTCCCAATGACTCTGGGTAGTTCAACAAATTTTATTTGTTTTAAAACTACCCACTTTTACACATGGCTTACATAATAATTTTGGAGAAACCAGAATACTATATTTTCAGTTATTCATGTTGTGCACAAATGCAGCCCATCCACACCACCAAAAAACTCGAGCACTTGTCTAGGTTTAGAAGGACATTGATGGTTCCAGGTTGACTTTAGCTGTTTTTCTAGATTACATATACACACCAACCAGAAATCTAATCGGAAATCAGTCCTAGCCAACTGGACATTGGCCAAGAATTCTGCTCAACCTCCTTGTGATCACAGATTCTTCTTCCCCCTTTCCATTGCATGGACCACAGGCTCTCTGTCTCAATCTCAAAAGCTGGAAAGGGAAGTCAGGGATTGTCCTCAAAGTTATACTGTATGCACGATTGCACATTTGGTCTCCTTTCCTCCCTTTCTCCTCAATCCAGGCTGGGTTTCATAAATGTATGATATATTTTGGAAGCACGGAATGAAAAAAAAACCAACCATTAAATCTGGCATTGTTGTCAAACAATTGAATTCAAAGGACTATCTCGCTGTCCATGGTGCTTGAGTTGTGTTGTGGAAAATACGTCATGGATAAGACACAAGGAGGGAACAAACTCCAGACAACTACAAATATTTCCTACAGCCTTGTATATATGCCTGTGCATGGATTTTTTTTTGTTATTGTGTGAAATTGTCTCTCTTTTGTAGTGACTTTGCTCAGCAGATGGCCCTTGTCCTTCAAGAATATCCAGACTGTGCTTTAAACAGCCTTAATCTCTCTAGAAACCTCCTGGAGGACCGAGGTAGGATATTCCCAATGTCTCAGCAGATATTTTGAAGTAGGATTTCCCATGATCTGGCCATAAAAATGGATTGGATTCATCACTACTGTTCAGCTTTTCAACTGTGACATGATAGCAGTGTTCCAGTATTTCAGGGGCTGCCCCAAAGAAGAGGGAGTCAAGCTATTCTCCAAAGCACCTGAGGGAAGGACAAGAAGCAATGGGTGGAAACTCATCAAAGAGAGAAGCAACTTAGAACCAAGGAAAAATTTCCTGACAGTTAGAACAATTAACCAGTGGAACAACTTGCCACCAGAAGTTGTAAATGCTCCAACACTGGAAGTTTGCAAGAAGAGATTGGACAGCCATTTGTCTGAAGTGGTGTAGGGTTTCCTGCCTAAGCAGGAGGTTGGACTAGAAGACCTCCAAGGTCCCTTCCGACTCTGTTATTCTATTCTATTTTATTCTGTCATATGATTAGAATAGTATGATCTGAACTTGCTGGTGGAATTATATAGCCAGGGCCATGGTGCTATCTTTCTCCACACATTGGAGGGTGCCTACCCGGGAGGAGCCTGTTGTAGAGTTGGTACTATGGTTAACATGTGGATCAGAACTAGGGAGATCATAGTAGAATCCAGGCCAATCATAGTAGAATCTCAGATGGGTATATGCATCTGTATGAACTTGCTCATGTATCCTTCACAATAGAAACCTGTGATACAGTATAAGCGGACAACTACCAATATCAGTGGTGGATTGCACCACCTCTATGACTTGTCTCTGGTTGACTTACTCTGCCCACAGGTATAATTGCTCTAAGCCAGATCTTCGATCAAGGGAACAAGGGTTTCCGGTCCCTGAACATCGCAAGGACTTCTGTCACTCAGAAAGGTACATGCCATCCTTGTTCTTCTCTCCAAAGCTTCTAATGATGAATTCCATCTTTCTGAAATCCACAAACTCTCTTCTTTCATTGGATCACTATTGCTGTCCTGCTGTGAGATCTATCACTGTGACTGGGGGACTTTTACTTGCATAAATTCTAGCTTGTTCAGTTTATGTCTAAATCTGACACTGTGCACATTTCCTTCCCCAAGATTTTCTCCAAAATTATTTCTTTGAGAGGAAGTTCTGAAGGAAATTCTGTTTCATGTTGTAATTAGAATTCAAATAGAATAGAGCTGGAAGGGGCCTTAAGAGGTCTTCCAGTCCAGCCCCCTGCTCAAGCAGGAGAATCCAAAAAGAGATCACTTTGGCGGAAAAACAAATCTGGTCACGTTGACAACTTCAAAAGCTGATACAAAAACTTATGCCACCAGACAAAGACTGAATGCACCAACTATCACATTAAACCAATAGTATATCAGATAAGTGACTAGCTAATCTCTGGTAGTGTACTGAATGATCCCTGGATAATTTTTCTGCCCAGGTATATTCTTAACATATTTTTGACCATGTCTTGCTAGGAATGATGGCCTTATGTCAATCCTTCGTCAACAATGGACAATTCAGAACCAGCCTATCCCATCTGGACCTCTCTGGAAATCCAGGAAGTTTGTTGGCTGAAGGTGGAAATGTAAGTGTGAATGAGTTATGGGAGCAGTTTAACAAATATCTCTGCCTTCTTCACCCCTTAAGAACAGGGAGAAACAGATAATCGTAGTTCTCAGGTGAGTTTTGTCAAATGAGTTTTGCCTCATTTTACGACTTTTCTGGCCACTTTTGTTAAGTGAACCCACTGTGATTGTTAAACTAGTAGCATCGTTGTTAAGTGAATCTGGTTTCCTCATTGACTTTACTTGTCAGAAGGTCACAAAAGGGGATCGTGTGACTCCAGGACACTGCAACCATCATAAATGTGAATCCGTTGTCAGACATCAGAATGTAAATCACATGACCATGGGGATGCTACAATGGTCATAACTGTGAAAAATGGTCATAAGTCACCTTTTTCAGTGCCGTTGTAAGTAAGCAAACTGTTGTCAGTCAAGGACTACTTGTAGTAAGGATTAGATGGGAAATGAAATTGGTGTGATGAAAAGATAAATTAAGTCTATATTACGTGGTGATTTGCTTTATTGGTGGCAGTTAAATAACTGATACACTTTTGTCTGGTTATAGCCAAAGGCTCTGCAATTCAAGCATGCAAAAGGAGTGTTAAAATGCAGAAGCATTTCAGTTTAATTGCTCTGAAACCAATAAAAGTAGATTTCAAAACATAAAAACATTTCACATACTCATATCCTTTGCAGTCAACTGTATCCCACAAGAGAAAAATTGCTCTCAATTTTTTGGCTATTTCAGCAAACTTTGCAACCAGCTCAGTGGTTTACATAGCTTTCACCCATCAGAGATTTTATGACTATCAGTATCTGAGGAGCCATTCTAATTGTTGACAAAATGTTCCTTCTAGAATTGATACATAATTGGTAAAAGAGTAAATAAGGCAAAATATTTGCAGTTTCCCCCAATGAAGGAGATAACATTCATGGTTCACTGATTTTGCTTGTATTCCTGAAACAACAGACTTGAAATTCCAGACCTAGAAAACCATGAATTACGCCGTCTTCGGTCTGATCTAAGTATAGTATATAGAATCATACATTGCAATGTCCTACCTGTCAATGAATACTTCAGCTTCAACCATAACAACACAAGAGCACACAATAGATACAAACTCAAAGTTAACTGCACCAAATTTAATTGCAGTAAATATGACTTCAGCAACAGAGTGGTCAATGTCTGGAATACTCTACCTGACTCTGTTGTTACATCCTCTAACCCCCACTCCTTTAGCCTCAGACTATCCACTATTGACCTCACCCCTTTCCTAAGAGGTCTGTAAGGGGCGTGCATAAGTGCACCAACGTGCCTACCGTCCCTGTCCTATTGTTTCTTTTTATTTTTCTTATATGTATCCATTTCATGTATCCATAACTATGCATATACTTATACCTTTTATCTTTGAAGCGATTGATAAATCAAAATAAATAAAACAAATAAATAAAATAAAGATACTAGAAATAAATAAAATAAAATAAATTTCCCTACTAATTAAATAGAATTGTGGTGGGAGATATAATTGGTGTGGATTTTTAAATGTTATCTTTTAATCTGAATTTGGATCATGAGTCTGTTGATCAATACTATAATATTCCATAATATTGTCCCATAATATTGTTGCATGACACAATCAAGTCCATGTTTATTCACTCCTTGCAAGTAAAGGAGAATATTTTAGTGAACTAAGATCCTATTTAATGGCTAAAGAATCAAGAAGTGAGATAATAACCAGATCACCGCTTTTAGTGAGGCCAATGAAGAGTTACTCTTTTTAAAATAATAATTTTAAAAAATATTATTATTAGAATTATATAAGCTTGCTAAATATAATAAATATAATTAATAATATTCTATCTGTATTAAAAGGTATGGCATTTAAAATAGGGTGACTGGCATAATAATAACACATTGAAATATTGAATAACTAAATAATGAAAGATTATAATTTAATCAAAATGTGTGCATTATTATTAGAATTATATAAGCTTGTTAAATGGAACAAATATGATTAATACTGTTTTATTTGTATCAAAATGTATGACACAGGTGCCACACTGTTCACGCATTGATATGCTTGTAAAAAATAAAAAACTTGGGGGAGAAAAAAGAGTTGCTTTTAAAAAATAAGAATAATACTTCTATTTTTAAAAAATTGTGCTATTGGCTAAATCAAGCACCACTGATTTTAAACAATGGCCAAAATTCAGCAGAAAGGTTCTTTAAAAGTCATTCCCAAAAATTACTGACAAATATGTAACATTGCCCCCTTTCTTAATCTATCCCAACCTTAAAATCTTTTGGGTCTGTAAAGATAGTTCCCTGGAGGCTGGAAACATCATCACTAATGTAGCTCAAGCAGAATTATAATCTCATAAAATAATTTTGCAGCAGAACTTCAAGTCTGCTCCATTTCTGAACACTTCAGGGGTAGGTAATATTATGTATAGCTGGTCCTTGACGAACAGCCAGTGGTGGGTTTCCAATTTTTTTTCCTACTGGTTCTATGTGCACGTGCTTGCAAGGCTCCAATACCGACCTCTGCCAATGCTGGTGAGCTGCCTGAACTGTTTTTTTTTACCTCAGATGAGGCAGGGCAATCCGGTCTGCCGCAAATCAGCTGAGCTAAAACAACAAGGAAATATAGGAGACGTAATGGCGGGGGCAGGGGGCAGAGCCAGAGGAGATATTCAGCAGGTTCTGGCCTGTTCTGGAGAACCGGTAGCAGAAATTTTGAGTCGTTCGGAGAACCAGCAAATCCCACCTCTGACTGGTCCCGCCCCCATCTATTCTCCGCCTCCCATTGAGTCCCAGCTGATTGGCTGGGTCTTCTTTGGTTGCCCTGCACAGGAGAACGGAGCTGGAAAGCAGGTTAGTGGGGTGCAGAGGTGGTATTCAGCAGGTTCTGACCAGTTCTGGAGAACCGGTAGCAGAAATTTTGAGTAGTTCGGAGAACTGGCAAATCCCACCTCTGACTGGAGATTTTACAGTATCCTTCTCCTGCCACACCCACCAAGCTACACCCACAGAACTGGCAGAGGCCGGCTGGGCAGTCAGAGGAGGACCCAGGCCCATTCCTTATCCAACCTAGGAGGAGAGGATAAGGGAGAGACATGGTCTCCTTGGGAGGAGAGGGCCTTGATCCTCTTCATAGGATGCAGGTGTGACAACTGAATAAGAGTTTGGACCTGCAGACTAGCAAACGCTGAAAACTAAGCGTGTTTTATTTTGGCCTGAAGTTATCTTGGTTGGCGTCCTTCCAATAGACTGTGCCTTGTTATCTCCTTGAATTTGGTAAATACTTCTCCTGGTCCGTTGTGGAATTTCCTTCATTGTAGTTTGTTTGGGTTTTTATTTCATCTCTATTTGCTCATTAAGTTCGGACTGTTTTGCTTTCTTTTGAAGACTATTTTTGAGCACGTTTTATCTCCAACTATTATTGAACAATGGGGCCAAGTTAGAGGCATTAAAGTACATTTATTTATGTCTTGGATTTTGTTACGTATTTGTTACACTCTGGGTCATCACACTGACATTTGTTTAGTGACTGTTTGAAACTTACAACAGCAATGAAAAAAGTGACTTGCAATCAGTCCTTACGTGGTTATGACCACGTAACCAAAATTTGGATTTATTATTTATTTTATGTATTTAGAAAATTTATATTGCCACCTACACGCCCACGGCGACTCAAAGCAGCATACAAGGATATAAAAACACCATATAAAGGAAATAAAAATAATAAAAGGAAAAAATAATAAAATAATAATTCACCCCCCATCCACCCCTTGGCGACAACACACAATTAATCCAACCATTTAATGAGCTCCATCTCACTCTGGGTTCCTCAGGCCCACTGGCAAAAACCATGTTTCCAAGGCCTTCCGAAACAGTATTAGAATGTCTAATCTCTGGGGGAATGATGCTCCTGAACGAGGGAGCCACCACGAAGAAGGCCCTTCTTCTGGGTCTCACCAGGTGTATCTCCTCAGGGTACGGGACCCAGAATATTCCCTGCCTCCTCGCTCTAGCGGGGAGTAGATGCTTGGCAACTGGTAAGTAGCATCCCTGGATCATGTGATCAACATTTGTGACCTTCTCAGCTGGCTTCTGTCAAGCATAATCAATGGAGAGAGCCAGATTTGCTTAACGACCATAGAATTCACTTAACAACTGCAGTGATTTGTTTAACAACGATGGCAAAAACGGATGTAAAATCAGGGCACCACTCACTTAAGAATTGCCTTGCTTAAGCATGGAAAAATTCTAGCCCCGAATTGTGGTTGTAAGTTAATGTCATGCCCTTCTTGACAAGAGCACAGTCGCAATTTTTCTTTGAACTGCTCTCCTCTGTCTCTTTTTCCCCCCAGGGTTTGTTTTCCTTCCTGAGTCAGCCAAATGCTCTGGGTCATCTTGATCTCTCTGGGTCAGACTGTGCCCTGGATATGGTGAGCAACTACCATAGCAACCATTGTTTCCGATCCACCTGGAATGTTTATTTATTCATTTATTTGTCAAAAGCTTACAATATAACAGAAACAAGAATAAACATAAGTTTAAATACAAGAAATAGGAACTAATAACTGGGGACAATAGGACAGGGACGGTAGGCACGATTGTACGCTTATGCACGCCCCTTACAATGTGTGACATCCTGTCCTCTCTTTTTTTTTTTTTGCATCATTTTGGTGAAATCCAACATGACTGCAAAGACTGTCATGAGCACCTGGAATAAAAGGACAAGGACCCCTCGTATGCTAAGCCAGACACCTGCTCCATGAGTTGACTTGTTTGAGTTGACCATGAGTTGACCATGTTGCTGTCTATTTTTTGTTCCTCCTGCCAGCTCTTTGGTGCCTTGGCTGGTGGATGTTGTGTAAACCTGACTCATCTGAATGTCTGCAAGAACGTTTACTCTCACAAGTAAGAGCCTGAAATGTTTTGCTCATCTGAATGTCTGCAAGAACGTTTACTCTCACAAGTAAGAGCCTGAAATGTTTTGCTCAACTTCTCCGGCTGTGGGAGACAGGTTGGTGAAGGGGGTGGGAAGGCTGGGTTCATGCCTGCAGTAGCACACACACACACATACACACCTGCTTTGGAATTTGCTAGACGATTGTCATTTTGTCATCGGCATTGACAAAATCCACCTTCTGACAATTGCAAAAAGCAGCTCTGTTTGGAACAGCTTACATCCTGCAACGATACTTTTAATACCGTTGAACGACAACGTTTTCCTATCCCAGGTCCTTTGGGAAGGATGCAACAGGTGGATAAACATGCCAAATCCAGTCTGAACACCTGGCTGACTGATGAACCACAGTAAATCTTCCTAAGGACCTGGAATCAAACCACATCTGCATATTGCAAGTCCTTGGGAAGGACTCCGCTGGTGGATAAAAATGCCAAATTCACTCTAAACATCTGGCTAACTGTACAAAGAACCATGATAATGAATAATGCATGAATAATATATAGCAATAGGCACCTCATGCAAACCCAGAACATCTGTAGCCACCACTTAAATACCATCAGCATTGACAAAATCCCCAAGAGTCGATTACAAAAGGCAGCTTGACTTGTAACAGCTTACTTACATCCTGCAAAAATACTTTTTAATACTATGAAACAGGAATATCTGCCTATTCCCAGGTCCTTGGTAAGGACTCGATAGGTGGATAAAAATGCCAAATCCAGTCTTCATCACCAGCCTAATAATAATAATGATGATGATGATGATGTATTAAATGCATATCCCAGCAGCTTTGAGCAATTTATAACCATTAAACCATTCAAAAACAAAGAACAAAGAGGAAAAAAAAGATAAGAGCAGCATATGACACAAGAACAATGATGGTAAGGAACAGAACTATAGAGAGGAGCAAAGACTTGCTTGCCTTTTCTTAAACAAGCTGGCCTTTCTGTGCTCCCTTACCTATTGCCATTTGGCATAACTCTGAAGCCACATCTTCAGAGACAAAATATTGGAACCTTAATTGCAAATGAAAGACAGTGATTGTCTTCCCAGGCAAACACAGCCAGATGCACAAACATACCACCATGGTTCTAGTTGCAACATTGGGCACAAGTGTACAGAGAACAAAGGGAGACGTTTTGCAAGGTGAGGCTTATAAGATTCCAAGTCGGCCAATTCTTTAGAGTGGGTGGGAGACTAGATCACGTATGGCCCATCATTTTGAAGCAGGATGGAGGCGCTTTCCACTTTAACATTACTTTTGGCTTCCGAGAGCTCTAAAGGGTTAAACTGGAGAGGGAGCCAAAAATTATTTCCGAAATGTAATCAAACTGGCTCTCTGCTGCATAAAAGATTTGCCTTGTTCCTGATGCAAGCTGAAGCCCTGATCTTGAGGATGTAATCATCGTACGTGTTTGTAATTTAGATCTTGAGGATAATCTCTGCCAGAATTTGCATTTGCACATTAAATCTCGGGAGGTCCAGAATCATTTGTGTCCTGAAGACATAGTCTTCAGTAGCAATATTTCTTCTACACAGCCTCATGCAACCAACATCTATTTGGTCTTTACTAGCTTTTCATGCTTCGCAGGGAGCTGTCCAGCAACAGTTGACAAACTGCCTTATTACTGAGACAAGAAAAAGGGCTGTTCTCTCTCCAGTAACTCTGTGCAAGATACAACAGCCATCAGGCTGCAAAATGCTAAAAAGTGATGGATGAATCTATTCATTTTTATTTCTATCCTTTTTTTTTCCGTTCTTTGGTTGATCCGGTTAAAGCATCCTTTGGAGAATTTGTTGTGTGTTTTTAAAGCTAAATGCACTTACGTCTGCAAGCAATAGAGAGCATTTCATAGCCTGCTTTTTCTAATAAATACAAGGAAGGTTTTTCTTTTTTTAAAAAAAAAAGCCTTAATCTATTTTCACATCTATTTTAAAACAAGCATCCCTGCAAAAGTTAATTTCTGTTTGAAAATATACAGTATTTGCAAAAAAAAAAAAAAGCTAAATAAATAGTGATTCTGACATCCTGGTTCAAAAATGCAAAATGCCTTTTGCTGGAGAATTATTCAATCTCCACCTATTCAGAACTGCTGCACCCTTCTTTTTAGAATATCAAAAATTGCATTTCCTTTATGTTGAATTTGGATTCATCTATGTCAGTGTTTCTCATCTTCAAAAACATTAAGATATGTGGACTTCAATTCCCAGACTTCCTAAAATTCCCAGAATTCCCCAGCCAACCATGTCATCTGGGGAATTCTGGGAGTTGAAGTCCACACATTTTATATTTACTGAGTTTGAGGAACACTGATCTACATTGTTCTCTTATTTGCCATTACTTTCTTCTTCTTTTCCAACATTCCCACTGAATTACTAATCAAATCTGATCTTGCTAGGTTTTCTGTGATCAACCAAAGCCACCTATGACTGGCTGGATCTTGTGGCTTCCCCAAATACTGTTATTGATTGGATAAAGCTTGTGGAGTGTAGAAACAGGAAAGGATTCCTTTAGAGATGCTATTCTATCCGAATTCATGCTGGGTTTGTGGTACTCCATTACCACCATTTCCCGAAAGAGGGGTGACTGCTTTTGAAGAGTCCTCGCATAAAATGTAGGTGCCAACTTTTTTTTTTCTCCTCAGAAAATCCAGAGGTGATCCTTTTGCAATCGGCCAGTTCTTCAGCCAGGCCTCTGCCCTACAAGAGGTTTCCATGTCTGGAACCAAGCTTCCTCCAGAGGCTTTAAGGTAAAGGAGTGGTGAAAACTTTGAGCTGAGTCCCCTGAGGGGAGAGAGAGAAAGATGAAATATGGCCACAACATGGGACAAAATGCATTAAGGGATGTGTCAACAAGAGAGTTGACTAATTCATCGCTTGCTTCCTGTTTGGTTTTCCTCAGAGCTTTGCTTCAGGCTTTAGCCAACAACACCCAACTGGAGAACCTGCACCTGGACCTCAGTAGCTGTGAGGTAAACAGCGATTTCCTAGGAAGCACGTCTGATTGATGGTACAAGAGCCAGTTCCAGAAATTTGAAGTGAAGAAGCTGGAAATACACAGGAAACACAATATTACAGTTCCTCCTGTCCCCTTGAGATTCATCAAGGAGAATAAGGGGAAATCGTTCTAAAAGTTTACAGAGATTCTTAGTCATCCAGGTCATGGTTATCCCAAAGTGCTTTTTTAGGAGACAACTGGCCTTTCTTTGTTTTTCTTTGAAGACATTTCAGTCTAAATGTATTTCCTGTCACTGAGAAGAGTGGGGTTACAAGAGGATATAATTTATTTATTTTTTTGCAAAAATTGTGTACTCTTGGGTAGCCTTTTTGCATTTAAATCAAGCCAAACAGAATAGGCTTGATTAGAAAGATTGCATTTTAATCAATTTTACTCATTAAAGCAACAGCATCCTTTTTCAGGTTGGTCTGGAAAAAGATGTGCCTGCTTTAAAAATTTAAAAAGCTGTGTTTATGCAAGATCTACAACACTTCTTTTGAATCAATTGGGGGGCCTTACATCTGCCATGAGAAAAGGAGACTAGGTGAATTTGGAAGGTCTGCTCTCCTATTTGTTCCTAGTCATAATAATTCAGTGCACCCTCCATGCTGGGAGATATCTGTCAATAGATATAAGCTGCTTTCAGTAGCTACAGTGAAGATATATTGATTGTAGAAGCTTCTGAAGATTAAATGGATCATAGTTTTCTGAGTATTTCAATGTTACTACAACAAAACTATCTGACCCTCAATACTTATGATCCTTATTCCATAGCTGAGATCAGCAGGAGCCCAAGTGATCCAGGATCTGATATCAGATGCCAGTTCAATCCGTGACTTGAATTTGTCAGACAACGGTAGGGTCTATTTGTTCTCTGCCATCCTGTTGAGAATAAGGGGAAGGTAATGTTTCCTACATTTTTCAACCTGACATTAACCCAAGCAGTTGTCACTGTATCTGGATAGCAGTCAGTACAATAATCTCTCTGGCTTTCAACTAGGATATGTAGATGTTTTAAAAAAAAAATCTTTGTGGGAATATCCAGAGTGCTCATTTGGTTCCTGACCAAGTTTGCAGGCACAGACTTCCCAAAGAGAAGCAGTTGGGAATCTTGCTAGGTTTATAGCACCTAAGTACTGGTTTGCTTGCATTAAATCCCCCTCCCCATTTTTGTCCAGCCTGGGTTAAGGTTAGGGTTAGGGTCTTTATCAATGGATGCTCTGCCTTATCTTCCCCCTCAAGAGAGATTCTGCAGAAGTACAATCGGGAAATCCAGTTTCAGTATAGTGGTTAAGGTGCTGGATTAGAAGCCAGGAGACTGTGTGATCTATTCTTCTCTTAGGCAGGGATCCAACTGGGTGACTGTGGACCAATCTCTGAGATGATTGAGAGAGAATTAGACCAGAATAACAAAATAACAGTGACAGTAAGCAGGTCTTCTAGTCCGACCCGCGACTAAAGAAGGAAACCCTATACCATTTCAGACAGGTGGTTGTCCAATCTCTTCTTCAAAATTTCCAGTGTTGGAGCACCCACAATTCTTGTGGCAAGCTGTTCCACTGGTTTATTATTCTCACTGTGAGGAAATTTCTCCTTAGTTCTAAGTTGCTTCTCTCCTTGATTAGTTTCCACCCATTGCTTTCTTGTCCTGCCCTTCAGCTGTTTTGGAGAATAGCTTGTCTCCTTTTTTATGGCAACCCTTAAATATTGGAACACTGTTATCATGTCACCCCTAGTCCTTCTTTTCATTAAACAAGGCACACTCAATTCCTGCAACCATTCTTTGTACGCTTTAATCTCATCTGCCTGCTTTCTGGAAATGGGAATCTATTTATTTTTAAATGACTATGTTCTTTGTTCCTTTAATGTCTCTGGCTGGCTTCCCAAAATTCAATAAAAACCTAATAGTAAAATCTCATTTTTAAAAACCCACCGTAAAATACCAAGAATGGCCTTGCAATTTGCGGTATAGTCCTTCTCCCATAAAAGCCATTGGTGAGAACAAGTCCATTGCATGCCCTCAGCATTTCCAGGGTGTCCAATGGCTCAAAACATTTACCTCCTCCTGAATGAAAACACCTGTGGTTCTTGTTTGATCGCCTCTTTTCTGCAGGCTTTGATTCTGACATGGTGACTCTGGTTTTGAGCCTCAACCGAAGCAAATCCATTAAACATGTCGCGTTAGGGAAGAACTTTAACATCCAATCTAGGTAAGCATACAGCACTCTCGTGGCATTAAAACAAAGCAAGCCCAAAATAAGATAGCATTGCTATGCTTTTGATAAGAGTAGATCCATCCACAGGAGAGGCATCATAATTTAAAATGGTCTGCTGCTAATGAGAATTTGAAACAAAGATCTGATGCTCAATTGAACATCCAGTCACATAGTAAAGAGGTCATGTCTATTGCACTCAGGGTTCTTAAAGTGTAAATCTTAAAGGCAGAAAGGTTACAGCTCTTGCAAGATTACAACAACTTGGGTTCCCCAAGTCCAGGCAGAAGGTGTTTTAATATCACTTGAAGCTTCTCCGTCAGATCAATCTACTGAGGCAATTGGACACCTCTTACAGGAGATTGAATTATATGAATTAAAACTCAAGAGTTGTCAAATTCTTTTTGTTTCATTCCCCTAGAGAGACCCTAGTTGACACCTTGCACCGGATTGTTCAACTCACTCAGGATGAAGATTGTGTAAGTGAAACTTAAAAAAAGAGAAAGCTTCATTGTGCATAGTATCTCATCATCTCTGGGGCAAAGCTATCAGCACCCCTATTTTTATAAATGTGAAGTCTTACCAAAGTCCGTGTCTATTTGATACCAGGCTGATCATTAAAATATAACCTGCTTTCAAAGTTTGAATCACAGTGTCGGCCTTGGGAGCCATGTTTTATTTTGAAGCTTCAAAGCTGCCGCATTTTAGTGCCTGGGAATTTGGGAGGGTGATTTCATAGAGAGCTGGAAGATTAGACTCAACAACATTCTTCTCATAAAGTCAAGGACAAGTTACCCCGCACCAGGAGAGGAGTGACAGGAGGGATGTCTCCAGTTGGTACGATGGTTGATTGGGCCATGTGATGGACTGCTGGGTGCGGGGGATGGGGCTTTTGATTTTCAGTTAGGAAGAGAAAACCCAGAAACTGCCTGATTCGGGATTTTCCAGATGTGACAACATGACTTCTTTAATAAATTCTTACTTGGATGAACTTTGATTCTGAGTGCTGAATGAAATGGGGAGTTTAATTTGGAGGCTGACACACAGATAAATTTTGTACAACGTGCTAGAGTAAGCTCAAATGAGGTTGGTAATGTACTTCATCTTCTTCTGGAAAAGCCATTGTCTCTAGTGTAATGGCGTGTGGGAAGGACCTTGGGAGACTGGCGGAAGAGCCACAGGTGGATAAGAGGCAACGTAGCCCACAGCAGGAAGTCAAATGTGGCAAACATCTCAGAAGGGACCCTCCCTAGATACTTGGGCTGCAAAGATGATGGGGGAGAAATGTGTTTTCAGACTTGCAAGATTTTGTTACTTCTTTTGTCTATTCATGTCAGAAGTTACCTACACATGATAGGATAGACACATAGCAATCAATACTGAGTGAATAAAACAGGTATGAAATAGGTCATAGAAATGTTGCATGTGTAAAACTATGTAGAATAAATAAGATTAAAATTAAATGACATTCACCCAGTATTGGACCATGTCAACAGCATTTTCTCTTGCCAGCATGAGTCTTCCTCTGAATACGATGAAGGATATTCTATGCACTGTAGCATATGTGATATGGATGGTTCTCCACATTCACACAAAGTATCTTCTAAAGGGAAGCCCCGTTTTTTTGGATTGTCCCTCGATCTTCCTAGCCCAGCGCACTGTCTATTTAGCAATTTCCATACAGGCCAAGATTGTTGCTGACCAAGCTGGTCAACTCTTGACCATTCTGCTAATCTCACCTTAAAATAAAGTAGAGCTAGTTCTTCTGGATGTGCTGCTATTCCGGACTATCTTGCCAGCCTGATAATATGTTAGGTAAACTTTTATTGTCCCATTTAATGAACAGTTGCATTTCATATGAACTATGTTTTAACCTGATTTAGTCAGCCAGTGAGTCAGTGGAAGAGACCCAAGCCTAACGCAAAGGAATAATATGTATTTATTTATTTAAATATAATAAGTTATGAAAACACCATCATTGCTTTTGAGTTCATCCTTGACAAGGCTTAGTATGTTGTGTGTGAACCAGCTACCTGTTCCTTCTCCTCTCTGATATGACCAAGATAAACATTAGCACTTAGAAGATTTTCTGCTTTGTTTTCCCCTGATTTTATTTCAGTCAATTGAATCTGTATCAGTGGCCGAATCGCGCCTGAAGCTGAGAACTGGCATTCTCTTTCATGGTTTAGGAAGCAGCAGCCATCTTGTGGCCTTGGATATCAGCGGAAATGCCATGGGAGACCTGGGTGCCAAAATACTGGCCAAAACTTTGTCGGTGAATAAAACTCTCAGGTGTGTTGGACTTCTTCTCGATCAGTGGATGAAAGAGCGGGATGGGGAAGACAGAACTTGTTAGAAGAATTTTGGTTTGCCAGAGAAATAGTCATGCTTTGTCTCTGACATGTCAAGGTACAAGAATTGGGGGGCAAGTCTATGTCCCCAAAAGATGTCTGACTGAACTGGCTGAGTTCAGAAGGCTGAATAGTAGCATGGGTAGAAAACCTCAAGGCTATTATAGATAGCCACAAAGATCATCTTGAGGGAAATACCCAGAAGCTGTTTCAGAAACAACAAGGACAAGAAACATTCCTTAAGCCTTGGGAAAGGAGAAAGGGTAAGGAGGAGTGAGCTCCTTCTTGACTTCTTAGAGTCAGATAAACAGATAAACAGATAATCAGAGTTGGAAGGGACCTTGTAGGTCATCTAGTCCAACCCCCCGCCCAAGCGAGAGACCCTACACCATTTCTGACTAATGGCAGTCCAATCTCTTCTTGAAGGTCTCAAGTGATGGCGCTCCCACAACTTCCGAAGACAAAAGCTGTTTCATTGGTTGATTGTTCTCACTGTCGGAAAGTTTCTCCTTATTTCCAAGTTGAATCTCTCCTTGTTCAGTTTCCATCCATTATTCCTTGTCTGGCCTACAAGTGCCATGGAAAATAGTTTGACCCCCTCCTCTCTGTGGCAGCCCCTCAGATATTGGAAGACTGCTATCCTGTCTCCCCTGGTCTTTCTCTTCACTAGACTAGCCATGCCCAGTTCCTGCAACTGTTCTTCATATGTTTTAGCCTCCAGTCCCCTCATTATCCTAGTTGCGCTTTTCTGTATTTTTTCAAGAGTCTCAATATCTTTTTTATAATGTGGTGACCAAAACTGGATGCATGTATGCATGCAGAGTATGCGAGGTAGAGAAAGAAAAACACAATCCATCTTGCAAGATTCTGTTACTGTGGCCTATCTCAATAAAGCCTACTTCTAGTCTGCATTTGGGGTTGGCTTCTTGTCTGGACAACCTGGGAAGGTTGTTGAAAAAATGTTGAAAAAACATCCTAGAAGAAAATAGCAAAGTATTTTCAGGGAAAGTGCAATAGATATTTATAATGAGGGAAAACTTAGAGGATGCACCCAATTGCTTGATGTCTACACCAAATCTATTTTTTTTTATTAAACATTTATCTGTTCATAGGACTCTAATGTGGGACAGAAACAACACAACCGTATATGGATTTCTTGATGTGATTTCAGCTTTGGAAAGGTGCGTATTTTTATCTTTTTTACAGGGGTAGCCAAGTGCTTAAAAAAGAAGATAAAATAAGGAACAACAAATTCATGTTATCCCTAACTTTTTTTCTTACTAGCATCCAAGTGTACAAGTTAATATAATGCTAATAACAACAGTGTCAACATAAACTGGAGAGGGTAGGTCAAATGGCATCTTTTGCAGGCTGCAATTTTAATGTATCGGAATTATTTTTAGACTTGGGTTTTGATGATGCTTAATTTGCTCGCGAATCCCTTAGCAGGAAGCAAAGCCTGAAACTGAAACACATCAGATCGCTTCAGGCCACACAAGGCAATTAAACAAGTTACAATTAAATATTTTTATGGGTTATAAGAAAAGATTTGGACTCATAAATTCATTCCAAAATGCAATCAAGTGACCACCGCGGATGGGTGCGGCGCTCAGAACTTTGAAATCAGGTCATAAGTACCTTTCGGCAGCCTGTTGTAACTTTGAATGGTGCCTAAGCAGCCAGTCGTTAAGCGAGGATGACCTGTAAATCCTAACCTACTTGTTTTCACACAGCATGCTAAATCACAATGAAGGTTAAAGGAGCTTGGTGCTAGATTAAGCACAGAATGCATCTGCTATCTGGCCTGCTTATAAATGTTGTGTGAACTCAGCCGCAGTATGTTGAAGGAGGATAACTGGTATCACACAGCAAGTTACACCATAATTTGGTTCAAGAGTAGTCAAATCCCAACCACTGTTTAGAGCTTTATGAGTTTACAGGTAGTCCTCGACTTACATGTGATGAACGAGGGTGGCATACAAAATAAACAAAGTCTCCAAAACAGATAAAGCCCCTTTTATTCCTTCACTTTGCTTCAAAGCTCCAAATATCCTTGACTGGAGACAAAAACCTCCCCCACAAACAATTACAGAAAGGAGGAAATGCCGTTTAAACTAAAAATGCCTATAGATTATAAAGAGTAAGAACAACACAAACCACACTGAAGCAATTAAGGGAACCACGCAAGATAAGAGCTTGGAGACGTCCACAGATATTGGAACACACACTGGGAAGGACGCCAAACTCAGAGAGGAACGACAAACTAGAGATATTTCCAAGCTTTGTTTCCAGCACTGGCCCATACACATGTCTGTCCTTTTAACCAGTTCCCACAGCTGCAGCCCATGAAGGGGATCAAGGCCCTTTCCTCCCCCGTAGACCATGCCATTCATGTCTCACCCTTATCCTCTCCTCCCTGCATGCTCTAGGATGGAGAAGGGATGAGCCTGGGTGCTCCTCTGACTGCCCAGCCGGCCTCTGCCCTTCACCAGCCTCCTCCACAACATCCGGAGCCACATCTCCACTCCCTGTTGGCTGTTCCTCCTCTCCCTCGGAGTCAGTCTCAAACTTACAATGGCACAAAAAAAAGTAACTTATGACTATTTTTGACACTTAATGACCGTTATGACATCCCCAAGGTCATGTGATCAAATTTTTGACACTTGGCAACTGGCTCATATTTATGACGATTGCGATGTCCCAGGGTCACATGATCGCCTTTTGCGACCATCTTACAAGCAAATACCAAAGGGGGAAGCCAATTCATTTAACAACCGTGTCACTAACTCGACTACTGCTGTGATTCATTTAACAACTGCGGGAAGAAAAGTTGTAAAATGGGGCAAAATTCACTTAACAAATGTTTCACTTAGCAGCAGCAATGTTGGGCTCAATTGCTGTCGTAAGTTGAGGACTACCAGTGTAGTTTGATGCAAATCTAGCCAATTGTGACTTTAAATGCACCATAATGAAGCACACCTGGGTTTGATTTGTTGAGCAACTACTTCATGTTCCTGCTAAGGAAATCTGTACGCTAGAAAGCTCATGCTACATTAAGCATGTTAGTCTTTGAGGTATCATAAGACTCTGTTAGTTTTGCTGAATTAACATTAGCCAACTCCCCCAGGTAAGCGGTGACTTTCATATTTTCTGCCTTAAGACATCTTTCAGCAGTTGGAACTAGAAAACAATCCTGAATTAACTAGCATTGAAACACCGAAGATGTTTCATATGTAGCCCTTTCTTTCTGTACATTCCATAAATAGCCAAAAAATAGATTTACCTATTGAATGGATAGATGAATGGATAGATGTATGTATGTATGTATGTATGTATGTATGGATGGATGGATGGATGGATGGATGGATGGATGGATGGATAGATGGATAGATGGATAGATGGATAGATGAATGGATAGATGGATGGATGGATAGATGGATGGATGGATAGATTGATGGTTGGATGGATGGTTGGATGGTTGGATGGATGGATGGATAGATGGATAGATGGATGAATGGATTTATACAGGTAGTCCTCGACTTAAAACATTTCACTTAGTGACTGTATGAAATTACAACAGCACTGAACAAAGTAACGATCATTTTTTATGCTTACAACTGTTGTGGCATTCTCATGGTCACCTGATCAAAATTCAGAGCCTTGGCAACTGATTCATATCTATGATGGTTTCATTGTCCCTGGGTCATGCGATCCCCTTTTGCAACCGCCTGACAAGCAAAGTCAACGGGAAAGTCAGTTTCATTTTAACAATCGTGTTTGTAACTTAACAACTACAGTGCTTCACTTAACAGCCAGGGCAAGAAAGGTCACAAAATGGGGCAAAGCTCACTTAATAAATGTCTCACTTAGCAGCAGAAATCGTGGCCTCAGTTGTGGCCATAAGTCCACCTTTCTTTTCCATCTGGGTGTGCAAGTTGGCTAGAATGAACTAAAACGTTGAAGTATACAATTCAGAAACTTGAATCAAAGCCAATGTATTTAAGCAGACATCTCAATATCTGTAGACTTATAAACATCAATATGTCAAATGCTTTGCCCCTTCTGTGCACCCCAGTGATGGGGCCAAGCACACCACTGCCCTGGACAATGTCCTGAAGAGGTCATTGTAATTTGGGTCATCTAATGAATATAGTGTCTGTCCCCCAGGAATTTCATCCTCACGAAAATGCCTTTGCCCATGAACGACATTGCTGTGGCTTACCGGAGTCATCCAGAGAAAATGGAGGAAATTGTGCACCAGGTATGAAGGAGGAAGGGACGTTGAAAGAAGAATGGGTAATAATTTAACCCACAAAGCAACTTTGTTCAGCTTGGGAGCCTCTTTTGAATGCTGAGGTTCTACCAAAGGATTTATGTACAGGATTTATGTAATCATGCGTGTTCCAATATGGTGGGGAAATGACACTTATTTTTCGGTAAGTGTAGCTGCTTGTTTAGGTAGAAGGGGAAGGACATGTGTATTCCTTGTGTACGTGAAATGCTTGTATGTGTCTACAGATACAGTCTTACCTTGCAAGAAATCAGATTCAAGCGAACCTGCCTAAGGAGACAAGCCAGCTCCAGATAGACAGTCAAGCCAACTCTTCTGAACAGGTGGGAATACCTGGAACCTGCCTACCTTTGTTGCTTTGCATGTAGCTCACCTTCGTCTTCTAGCAAAGGCAAAAGATGTTGCTTAAGGTCAATACATCAAATTGCACATTGGTTGGCTGGGAATGTTGAGTGTTGATGTGTATAAGAACAGGCACTATATTCAGTATAAAACAAATGAAAAGTGGCTGCAGGATTTGGCTGTGGTTAGTCTAGAGAAAAGGAGGACTAAGGGAGACACGATAGCAGTATGCCAGTATTTGAGACACAAAGAAGAGGGGGTTGACTTATTTTTCAAAGCATCCAGAGGGCAGGACAAGAAACAATGGACGGAAACTAATCAAGGAGAAAAGCAACCTAGAGTTAAGGAGAAACAACTCACAGTGAGATCAATTAACCAGTGGAGCAGCTTGCCTGTGGGTGCTTCATCACTGGAGGTTTTGAAGAAGAGACTGAACAGCTACTTGTCTGAAATGGTATAGGGTCTCCTGTTTGAGCAGGGGGCTGGACTAGAAGACCTCCAAGGTCCCTTCTGAATTGAGGTGAAATTCAGCACACCTACAAGATGTTGCTTGGAGAAGGCTGATCTAAAGACTATGAGCTGTTCCCAAGAGGTCCATGAAAACTGCCAGTAATAAGAACAAAATCATAGAACAAGTCAATGTGTTGAAGTGCTTCACAGTTGTTATCTTACAGGACTTAGAACAACACCGTGAAGTTATTTTTATGATCCAGAGCAGATGGGAACCCCAAGGTTCAAGAACATTTCTGAGTCCATGTTTGAGGGCAGTCTCCTCAATGAAATATGTCCTCTTATTCTCAGTTTGCAAGCCTCCACGGTGGCAGACCTCCAATTCAAACTGGGATGCTGGTACAAATGAAATGTTATAATCTGCAACAAGGAGGAAGGTGCTATTTATATTTCACCAAATGCTAGACTGTTCTGGAATCGGAAATGTGACAATGCCTCTTGGGAAATGTCTTTCCCATATAGCATTATTCACGACGGGAAATAATCCATCTTTCATTGGGGTGTGAATCTGCCCTCAAAATACCAGATTCTAATGCTGACCCTGGCTGGCCTATGGCCACCAAATCAATCAACAGTCGTTCCTGTATCACTAGGAATTGAACCCAATGGATATACCCAGTTTACAGTATACAGTGGCAGAATTCCTGAATTCTGACTAGCGTGTGAAATTGAAAGTGTAAAGGTACTGAAGGTGATGGAAAATTTGAAAACCACATTAAAGCAAATTCCCTTTTTCCATCCATTTTCTCTTTAAATCAGATCTATAGAAGGCTAGACCATTCAGCTTCTCTCACATTGACTAAGAACTCCTAGAAGTTCTATAAGGCTACAGGTCCTGCGATCATCCAAGTATTTCCTCTTTTCATTTTTAAAGACTATTAAGCAACTTTTCCCCCAATGTAGAATGCCTACCCAGAGCAGCCTTTGGTTAGGAGTTCTGGAAGTTGAAATCCAGTACACCTGGGGGAACCAGTCTACAAGAGGCTACAATGCCCTGACAGAAGAGAATATTTATGGCTCCCTGTTGAACTGTGTGGGGTCCTTGGTGCTCTCTGAGCTTGGTGGTTTTCTTGCAGACATTTCTTTACCAAACTAGGTAACATCATCAGTGTCTTGAACGATGAACTTGAATGTTATGTGGGACAATTGAATTTATGGGCAAAGGAATAAAGGTACAAATCGTATAGATTTGCACTAGAAACATATCCCATGTATGTCTATGCTACTCCAGAAGAAAGCTACAAGCCCTATTCCAACAAAAGCACTCCAGGTGAAGTATTTTAAAAAATGTTTTTCAGGGATCAGACATCTTTCAGTTTCCCTTTCCCTTTCTAGCTCAGACCTATTCTTGCAACATTGTCATGGAAGATCTAATGATCTTGCTTTCATTGTTAGGCAGTGAAACATGCTTGCCAGACTGTGCAGAGGTACATTGGGCTGCTGAGCTGTGTTCAGGATTTGGAAGTTAAGGCTGATCTGCTTTGGGCTGAGGAAGCCATCAAGGATGCAACCCACTTCATGGATGTGGGTTTTTTCTTCTTCGTTGTGTTTGTTACTTTTCCTTTTGATGGCTTCTCTTGATTTGGATAGGAGAGTAGAGTAGGGTAGGGTAGGGTAGGGTAAGGTAGGGTAGGGTAGAATAGAATAGAATAGAATAGAATAGAATAGAATAGAATAGAATAGAATAGAATAGGAAGGGACCTTGGAGGTCTTCTAGTCCAACCCCCTTGCCTAGGCAGAAAACCCTACACCACTTCAGACAAATGGTTGTCCAATCTCTTCTTAAAACCTTCCACTGTTGGAGCATTCATAATATCTGGAGGCAAGTTGTTCCTCTGATTATCAGGTAGTTTCATTGTCCAACCTGATTTCACCATTGCACTAAATAACAATCGTTTTCAGAGTTAATGTCAGAATTAGTTGGTTATGTGAATCCAGCCATTGTGGCTTGTAGGTCAGGACTAGTGGTGTACTTGATGTGGAGCGTCCAAACAATTGCACTCAGGCAACAGTGATGAAGAGGAACCACGTGTAGAGTTTTGGGTGAACCTATTCTCAGTTTCATTGTAGAGGTCATGCCAGGTGCCCCTGTAACTATAACCATAAGGATGCTGCTCATGACATGACATTTTCATATAAATGACATGTCAATTATGTAATTCATATCATTTGTGCAATAATTGTCATAACGCGCCAAACCTCACTTTTCCATCCCACTGATGGATGACAATGTGCAGCAGAAGAATTAAGGTTATGCTGGAATGTTCTGATATCATGAATAACTTTCCTTGATAGATGTTCCAGCCTTAAAATGTTTGCTTTCTGTGCTGCCTGTTTGTTTAATTCCAGTGGGTTTTTTAAAAAAGTAACAAGAACATTTGGTCCAATAAATATGTTCCTCTAAATTCATTGATGAGCAACAACTCCTAGAATTCCTGTCCATCAGCCTGCTGGCAGTGGTAGGAGTTGTTGATCTGATCTGGAGAGTTGAAAGTTCCTCAACCTTTCTGTCCTTCTTCAGATGTTGATGAAGTTCCCCTCCTTCCAGGGTTGATCACAAAGACCATGCGTGGCTACTTGTGAAAACTATACCGATTTCTTTTCCAACAGATTTTGCCCATTTTGTACGAGGCAGGAGGAAGGCCTTCCTACCAGAACTGCAAACTTCAGCACAAACTGGAAAAACTAATTGAGGAAGTTTCTCAGACTTACAGCAAGGAAATCCAGGTAAAGGTGGGCTTTGGTGTTGCGTTGACCTGTTGGTTGCAAACAGGGGTGGGATTCAAAAATGAGTTGTGTGGAGACTCCAGGGAGGGGAAGGCAGGGATGGGCAGAGCCAGCCTGTCGGTTCAAATGTGGGTTCTGCAAACCAGATGCAAATTTAACAACCGGTTCACGCGAACCGTTCTGAACCGGTAGAATTCTACCCCTAGTTGCAAACATTTTTTTTTCTCCTTGATCTTTTGGGAAATGGCTATAGCTTCAGAGAGCCTATATTGAATTAGATAGAGAGAGGATTTAGGATTTAGAAGAAGACAACTTCCTTTCTGTGTTCTTCATCGAACATTTGTACTGCAAAACCTAGCATTTGGTGTTGGCCTGGAACTTAGTGTCCTGGTAACCTTGCTTTAATTGCTTTTTAAAAATGAATATATCTACTCCATATGATAGAACAATATGTCCAAGAACATGTCGCTTAGCTTTTGCCATTCTGGTGCCATCTGGCTATGTGGAAATGGAAATACCAAAAATGTCCACTCAGCCCAGAGGTGGGTATTCAGCAGGTTCTGAGCAGTTCTGGAGAACCAGTAGTAGAAATTCTGAGTAGTTCGGAGAACCAGCAAATCCCACCTCTGACTGGAGATTTTACAGTATCCTTCCCAAGCCACACCCACCAAGCCACGCCCACAGAACCGGTAGTAAAAAAAAATTGAATCCCACCACTGACTCAGCCCATTCAAAAAGTTCCAGGCGAAGAAGGATTATTTTGGTCGTATCTTTGAGCATTCACAAACATGTCCCTTTCTCTGGCTATGAGAAGCTGAAGATAAAGGAGAATATTTGTAGCTCAGAGTTGTATACGGGGTCCTTTGTGCTGGCTAAGCTTGGTTGTTTTCTTGCACACATTTCATTACTCAAACTAGGTAACTGGGAGCAAACCCCACACCTTACTAGCACTGATGATGTTACCTACTTTGGGTAATGAAATGCCTGCAAGAAAACAACCAAGTCCAGAGAGCACCAAGGAAGCTGAAAGTAAGATGTGAATGCTTACTTTTTTACACATTGTCACTATCATGGAAAACACAAAAGCGTCTTGAAAACAAGGATGGTTTGTCTTAAACATTACCAAATTGATGGTATATTCCCAAAGCTCCAACTTGTCCTTCTGCCGTCGTTGTCCTTTGCTTGCGATGAGGGCCAATAGGTTGACCTTATTGCTTCCAGTGTCACTTGACTGTTCCTTCCTCTTACCACAAAGGTGGTTTCACTTGCCTTCTCCAAGTAGGTGAAGACCAGCAGAAAGAAAAATAAAATGTTGCTTTCACCTGCCTTAGTTTCCTTTTCTGGACTTCTTTGCTTTCTCTTTTATCGCTTCGGGCATCTGGTTCTTGCTCTCGTGACGGCCTCAACCGTTGGTGCTGGGTCTTTGGTGTTGTCTCTCTGTCTTCTTCTGGGTCTGCCTCATGTTCTTTGACCTTCCTTCTTTTTGTATAAGCCTTGCACAGTATGGAATCCTACGACACCTTCTTTGCGGGGTGAGCAAACCACTTTATTTGCTTCTTTTTGTGTGTAGTTTAAGATTGGTTCTATGCCAATTCTTTCTCTTCCGGTCTCATTTCTGATTTTATCTCTTCTGGTCACTCCAGCAGCTTTGCTCAAACATCTCCTTGGTGACTAACCTTGTGTCAATTAGCCATGGACGTGTAGGATACACACAAAGGGCAGGATCACCTTAGCTACTTGCCCCACTGACAACTATTTCTGTTGCCTTCTAATTATCATTGCTCCAAAATATCACTAATGAGGATTGGCTTTCAACAATGACCAGGAGATGCCATGAAGATACTAGAAGTTACTAGTGAGGAGAGAATGAATTAATTTACTCCAGTTCCCAGAAGCGATACTCACTGAGCTTTCCTTACAGGCTGTTGTGCAGTCCCAGTTGGATGCTATGCAGAGTTTGCACCCTCAAATTTTGCAGAAAACAGATATCTTGAAGCAATTATTCTGCAATGCATCAGAGACAACCTTCCTGGACCAGTTGCTGACCGAAGTGTATGACGAGGTCATGTAAGTAATCCACCCCCTTCAAGCCTTATCAGAAGAGGGGAAAATAGCTGCATTTGTACTTACATATATGTATACTGCAGGCTTTGCCTGTAAGCTGTCTTGCTCTTCAGGTTTCAGCATGCCTGGTGACCCAGTGTGATTGGGTTGAAGGAGCAAGAGAGTGTTACCTTTTCTTTCCACCCCACAAGTATATGGGCACTTGCTCAAGGAGTCTTGAGCAATCCTCTCTCTTGGCCTACTCAGCTTCCATATTTCATTCTTCCTGGCCCACCAAGTCTTCTTCTGCTTGATAGGAAAATCCAACGATCAATTACGGAGGCCATGACCGATATTATCACTGAGAAGACGTTGGAAGAGTTAACCACCATTCAAGACAGGCTGGTGAGTTGGTTGGCCAACCCTCAAAGACATCAATGGCCCCATAGAAGTTTTGTGTACAGGTAGCCCTTGACGTATGACCACAATTGAGCCCAAATTTTCTGTCGCTAAGTGAGACATTTGTTAAGTGAGTTTTGCTCCATTTTGTAACTTTCCTTGCCACAGCTATGAAGTCAAATCACTGCAATTGTTAAGTTGGTAACACAGTTGTTAAATGAATCTGGCTTCCCAATTGACCTTGCTTGTCAGGAAAGGGGAATCATATGATCCTGGGACACTGCAACCGTCATAAATATGAGTCAGTTGTCAAGCATCCAAATTTTGATCAGGTGACCGTAGGGATGTTGCAAGGCTCATAAGTTTAAAAATGGTCAGAAGTCACTTTTTTCAATGCTATTCTAACTTGGTCACTAAATGAACTGTTGTAAGTTGTACTACTGTTTCCTTCCACCCTTCCATTCTTCAGTAGGTTTGATCCCCACACTAAACTAGGAAGAACAATATTTTGCTCTGAGCAAACTATCGGTAAGATCGCACTGTATTCCTTTTGTCTACTATAACCCCAAATATCCACCCTATGTGATCAAGGCAGCTGACAATATAAAAGGCAATATTATGCCAAGAAGAAGTAATTCATGTACCCTTAAATTCAGTTCCTGCAAAAGAAAAGTCTATTTTACAACTCATTCTCGGGATGAATCTTTTTTTCTTTCTTCCCGATAACATGTTTTATCTTGTCTTGCTACAATCAGCTTAGGTTGTGGATCGGTTTGCTTTGATTTATTTTTTTAAGATTTTGTCAGTTGTTCCTAATCTGAAAAAAGGCCAATAGGATATTTTCATTTGAGATATGGTCAGAATTTCTTCTGAATCTTTAAAAAAAAAGTAGAAGCAGACACATTTCTATGAATAAGAAGAAATGTTTGGCACAGCACAAAACAGAAACAGACAAAGCAAAAGTGATGTCAGCCAGTCCAAAGTAAAATGATGTGCCATGTCATTGAAAAATAACAGATATAAAATCTGACTTGATGAAGTATTCTAACCACAGCTTTGAACAATGGCTCGCTTCCGTCCCAGCTGAACTCTTCCAAATGATTCAGGTTCTTGCTGAAATATAATTTCCACCAGCCACAGGCAGCATGGTCAATATTTGGGATGCTGGGAGCTTCAACAAGCAGGTGGCAGCATCAAGTTGACCTTGATTGATCTTAAAATGTAAACATGACAGCTCCACATCCTTACTTGGGTGGAAGACTCCTTGGAGATCCAAGGGCTGTTGGCTAAAAAGCCAAAATAAATCCTAGAAAAAAGGCAATGTTGCCATGTGGTCACTAAGCGTTGAAAATGATTTGATGGCACCTGTCAAACCCACCACTCCTTAAACCTCTTAAGTAAAAGCAACCCTTGGCTCCATTTGTTGGGAAGGAGAAATATTATTAGAGGCAGAACTGACAATTGCTCTCCAAAATCCCTAAGTTCAACTTTTCCCTCCCTCAACTACCTCCCCTCGCTGATCACCCTGCCCCCATGCCCAATCAGATTCAAGCAAGATGTTTTCAGAAGGGTTACTGCAGAGTAGGTTGGTACGCAGTTGCCTTCTTCTTCCAGCCAGGTGACCTTGAAGCAGCATCTCGGGGAGATACAGCCATTACTTTCATTTTCCTCCAAGCATCCCTGCTCCTATCCATCCTTCCCAGAGTTCATGACAGACGGTCACCGCATTGTAGTGAAGCAAGTGTAAAGTGACAGCTGAAAGCACGTACATCCATGCTAACCTCTCCAAAGCATTTCCTCTCTGTAGGAACTCCAGGTAACCAGGAGGGATCCTATTTCCCTTCTAAGCCTTGATGAGTTCAGCCAGATGTTTTTGCAGGCTAACAACTGCCTTGCTTCCTTCCCATTAACCAGACATTCCTCTCTCTTTAAAAAAAATATTCTCATTTATCCCCTTCAGCCTAGGCTTTTCTCGTGCCTTGGTTCCGTACTTAGCTTGCATCTGCTCAGCTTACTGGAGATTTAAGGTACTGTTTCTTTTATCCATAGGTGGCTGCCCAATGGAGACATTCTTGCTCTCTGGGTCTTCTGCCAACACCGAGTTTAAATGGTAAGACTTCTTCTATTTGAGTGGAGTGGGCAGTCTAGATCTTGACATCGCATTCAGCTCAGCCCATTATTTCCCATGCTGGAGTTGCCAAAAATCAACTTCACATTCCCTACATGGCACATCTTTAATGAAAAGGGTGCTTTAAAAAAAAAAAAAAAAAGCTTGCAAAAGTCTCCTGCAAAAAAAAAAAAGAAACATGAAGAATATCCTGGGAACAATATCATTCCATCCACTCTAGAGGGCTGTCCTCAGTGGTGGGATTCAAAATTTTTTTACTACCGTGGCTTGGTGGACGTGGCAGGGGAAGGTTACTGCAAAATCCTCCTTCCCTCCCCACCCCACTAACCTGCTTTCCAGCTCCGTTCTCCTGTGTAGGGCAACCAAAGAAAACCTAGCCGATCAGCTGGGACTTCGGAGGCAGAGAATAGATGGGGGCAGGGCCAGTCAGAGGTGGTGTTTGCCAGTTCTCTGAACTACTCAAAATTTCCAGTACCAGCTCTCCAGAACTGGTCAGAACTTGCGGAATTCCACCTCTGGTTGTCCTGCCATCTCTAGCTCTTAACTGCTCAAAATAAATTCTGACCACCAGACACCAAAATATTGTTGTATTTGTCAGAGAGAGAGAGAGAGAGAGAGAGAGAGAGAGATTCTTTAATCATGGGCTCCAACACAAGCCGGAAAGTTTGGAAATATAAATCTCCGGTCCCGATGACCGACCTCAATTGGATCCTGCAACATTATCCTGGGACATGTATATTTATTTCCATTTGCAAAGTGGTTTGATTTCTGGACCCATCTAAAGATGTGCTGCAATATTGCTTGGCCTCCTTGGAAGTCAACTCTGACTCTGCATTAAGCGGGGAACCCAGGCTGGTCTCCCTTCCTCTTGGGGTGGGGGTGGGGGCCAAGGGAAGAGCTGCCTTTAGACAATCCCAACCTCCTTTTCCTCTAGTTTTATTTCCCAAGCGTGACCTCAGCAACCTCTGACAGAATCCCAGAGAGATGAGGAAGGAGGAAACGGCCACACATTTGTCTCTCTTGGGCATGTATACGTGTTCCGGGAGCTGAGTCCTTCTGGCTTGGACATTAGAGACTCTCTCTGGACTTGCTTCTTCCTCCTTACTTTATTTATTTTTTTATTTATTTTTTGTCAACTATTTACAAGATAATAGGTATAAGTAAAAACATAGTTATGAATACATGAAATGGGTACATATAAGAAAAATAAAAAGAAACAATAGGACAGGGAGGGTAGGCACGTTGGTATGCTTATGCCCCCTACAGACCTCTTAGGAAAGGGGTGAGGTCAATAGGAGACAGTCTAAGGTTAAAGTTTTGGGGGTTTAGGGAAAAAAGCCACAGAGTCAGGTAGAGTATTCCAGACATTGACAACTCTGTGGCTGAAGTCGTATTTCCGGCAATCAAGTTTGGTGCGATTAACCTTGAGTTTGTATCTGTTGTGTGCTCTTGTATTGTTATGGTTGAAGCTGAAGTATTCATTGACAGGTAGGACATTGCAGTGTATGATTTTATATACTATATTTAGATCGGACCGAAGGCGGCGTAGTTCTAGGTTTTCTAGGTCTAGAATTTCGAGTCTGGTGGCTTAAGGTGTTCTGCACCGAGTAGCGGAGTGGAGAACTCTTCTTGTGAAATATTTCTGGACTTTCTCAACTGTGTTAATATCATATACGTAATGTTAGTGGGGCAAGCCAAGCTTCTCCTGTCCATTCCCATCCCCCAGAGCCTGGTGGCTAAGGATGCCTTGTCAGTTTAGTCGCCTGGGCTGTAACAAGCCTTCAGGTGACAAGAGATGTTGTTGTGCAGCAGAGAGGGGCACTCTGCTGTCTGCCTGGCAGCTCTCCACCAACCCCCCCCCCACCTTCCTGTTTTATCTCCTTTTTCCTCCCTCCCTCCCTCCCTCCCTCCTTCCCTGCCTGCCTCCCCTGCCTCTTCCCTCTCCCAGGTCTGTCAGAACGGGCGCTGAAGGTAGGAGCCGACGAGAACAAGATTGGGAGTCCCCAGCCTGAGCTGTCACTCAGCCGTGCCTCCGCGAAGTCACGCCCTGCTTCCACAAAGGATGCTAAGCTTGGGAGCGGGCTGCTGCCTCGCACAGAGCCTGCATCCGCAGCATCCCTTATGGACCTGCCGACTGCAGGGGAGAAATTGGAGCATTACACCCGAGACAGGCCCAGGCCGAACCGAAGGAACAGGCAGCCTCCCAGCAAGTCGAATGTAAGAGCTTTCCTACCAGCGGGAGGTGGGCACAGGGGAGGGGGGGCCGGGGGAAAGAGGGCTGTATTTTTATTTACATTTGTGGTGGTGTGTGCTCTCCGAGGGTGAGGTGATGTTCTTTGCAGCAGCCACAGCAGCAACCCCGGGAAAGGGAGAAGGAACCGGAGCAGCGGCTGTTCGGTTATGCGCCTATTCAGCTGGGCCACTGGCCATCTCTGCGCAGAGGACAAGCTAGTTAATATCTGAGGGAGGGAAGGAGGATGGCTGGCGTCTTGGCTGCCTGTGTTTATTTACTAGTGGTGGGGAATCGTGGCGGTGATGCCTGCTCTGCAACTGCAGGCTTGGGAGGGAAGGAAGCAGGAGGAAGGAAAGGATCCCAGCCTATTTACATGCATGTACTGGCTTTCTTTTTTTTTTTTTTGGCATATGTTTATGAAAATCCTGCTCCCATTTACGGAAGAAGAAGGAGCGTCTCATTTGCTTATGTCTTCCTGGAAAGCTGCTCCTGTGTTATCAGACATCATCTATGCCATTGCATTCTGCATGATGATTGTTCTTATTTAAACAAAAACAAAACGGTGCACTGCTATTTATTTCCCCTTTCTCTGTGATCTGGGGGAAGGTCGGGTTTTTTTTTTTCCCCATTCGGAACCTTTGGGGCCATTGGCTGGATTTGGTTTCTCAGGTGAAGGAAGATGAGATCAGCATCTGATCTGGATGTCCTTTTGTCAGAAAAGGGACCGTTGATGGAATGAGCCCTTGCTTGTGGCGGGGAAGTAAGTTCTTGGTGCAGGCAAACCGTAGAGCTGAGATGTAGGGAGGAAAATCCAGTGTTTACATAGGATGTGAATGAGTGTATATGGGAGAGAAATAAAACATGTAGTACGTACCCAGGTTGATGTCTCTAGCAATAAAACTCTCCAGAGCTAATCAGGTAAAACATGATACCCTGGAAAACATTATTATTATTATTATTATTATTATTATTATTATTATTATTATTATTATTATTATTATTATTATTATTTAGACATTGTAGCCTTGAAGAGAAGGCTCCATACTCTTTCTGATCATGCCTCTTAATAAAACCTCAATCCAGTTACAAAGTGACCAGTGCTAGGGGGAAAGTGGGGGGGGGGAGAAGGAAAGAGCTTATTAATTATCCAATTAAGGCATAATTATTGATTACCTCTGGAAATCTGCAGAATATGAGTTGAACTTTGGAGCTCAGGCTCTTGAGGATTATCCTGGATTCAAAGGGGCATCCATTAAAAAAAAAAATGAATGAAAATGCAAGACACCAAAATACATGGTTTATTTTGTATTTTTCTTCTTCTTCTGTACAATGGATACCTCTCCCCTGCCATCAATATTCCCTCTTAAGGTTTATCCCGGAAGCAATGCAGGAGAAGTGGCCAGAAAGGGGTGTATTACAAATCCTAGGCTAATTTTTTTCCACTGCTCCAGTTTTTCCAGCACAGAGTAACACTTTTTTTACTCCATTAAGATGCAAATGTGTTGAAATATTCAACAACCTACCGCGCTCCTGGAATACAAGAAATTAGCATCCAGAACTCCATAAAGCTCTTCAAAAACCCCAAAGGATTCCTTCAAAATATAAGAAATAATGCTGAGGATGAGTGTTATTATTTTTGTGCTAGGATTTTTTTAAAACCTTTTTTATAGATCTGATTTGCATTTTTCAAGTTAGATTTGATGTCAACGGGCCTTTGACTGGGTGGGCAATGCAAGTCTGATTAATTACTTAATTAATAACATGATATTTGCAATCCTACCCACACTTATTAGGGTGGGAGTGAGCAACCCTTACCAAATCATCCTACCAAGGATTTATGGAAGAATTTCTGAGGTATTTCTAATATAGTAGGAAGCAAAATAGATACGTTGTCTCCTCAAGATTTAGCATGTTGTTTTGCTTAAAAATTTTACTGCCTCCCCAACATACACTACACCAAATTTAATAACAATTGACCACTAAAAGACAGAGAACTTCAACAGTATCTTTTTAGTTGGTATCCCTATTATTACCAGGTCTCTGGTTTAAAGAAAGGAAAAATCCCTTCTGCCCCCCAAAAAGAGAGAAAGATTTGCATGGGCCTGTATTAGGTTATCTGCTTGATATTGGTTGACCTTAATTATTTCTAAGCAATCATTCAACTGATGCCAGTAAAGTACCTTGGATCTGTCATGTCTAGTCATGTCTCAAAGAGTTTCATCCCAACTGTTGACAAACTCCGGTATAAGCAACTTCTGTTTTTTGGAGAATGGACTTCGGTGGGAAAACACATCCTTGTGTTTGGACTGCATACGTGTGCAAAATACACTTACCATATTATTTTCCACCTGGTTTCAGTTAAGCAAAGAGATGAGCAGCTTGCAGATTTCAGGATCTATTTAGTTTTTCTCTAGAACCCCAAGATTCGCCAATTAAAATCCCGTGTCCACTAACCAGAACTCAAGATGCGTGCTTTAAAGTATCTCCTATCTATGTTTGGCATTGGATAGATGTACAGAATATGTAGACAAATGTAGAATACATGCTTGTACTTGGTAAATTATTCTATGCCGTGCGACAGACTCTGAAAGCTTGTGGCCAGCAAAAGTTGCTTTCAGTTCAAGTTCACTGCTCAGCCAATACAGGAATATATGGATGTTGGATTAATCTCCACAAAGCATCATTTTTATAGCATTTCCACATGTTCAGATCAATGTTTAATACTATAATCTGAACCTGTTTGGTGTGTCGTTGCTTACAATTTATCTTTTTAACATACTGTATGGAATTTTCAAGTAGCTTCTTAACAACACAATTGTTTAAGGGTAGGTTGCATTCTTGAAGATTAAGCATTTTATACAGAGGAGAGATAACTCATTGTTGAGCGTGTCCTTCTCGTGTAGCAAGTTCTGTTATTTTTAGATGGACATGAATAATTATGGACCAAACCTTTGAGAACTCATATCAGCACAATTTGGATCTGACTTAAGGGAAGGCAGCTTCTTGGTGGTCCCTCTTAGGGTGACTAAACTCTATTGTGGATGGTTTCTTTGTCAAATTATATTATGCATGCTAGATTGATAGTCATCCATTAGCCATAGTAGCCAAAGTAAGTATTGAGAAGTTCCAGATTTCAGTTGAAATGAACTGGTCAATTATATTCCCAAAGGCAACAGTGGTTATCTCTTTTTGGTTGGGCCAGATGATTCATCTTTGCTCATATACTCATGAATATGTAAAAAGAGGAGGTGCAAGGATAGTTTCTAGGATTATCAAAGGAGGCAAGAAAATATTTCATGTAGAAAGAGGTCTACAATAAGTTGGATTCTGCAGTTCCGTATATGTTCCTTGAATCAACATTAATGAGTCTGATCCTTTAATAGAACTTATTTGTGCAAATTATCTATGCTAAAAGTGGGGATCAGTTGGAGGCTGTTGCAATTTACAAACCTGACTTATTGTAATTTGGTGAGCACTGATAATCTAATCACTTGAAAGGGCTTCTACATCAGAAAACTAGGGGAATAAAGGAAAGGAATGACTGAGTCATGTCTAATAATTAAGAGCAGTTGAGGCAGAGGGGAAAATAGTGCACCTCCTTATCCTATTTTATTAAGGGAACTAAGTCCCAGTGCACAAACAACCAGCAATCATAATTTCTTCTGAGAAGTAACATTTCAAGATGCATGATGATTTAAGGCATAAGGACCAAGCTTATTATTAATTTTTCTTTTTGTATCAATTGTATCAAGTGGAGGAAGAATTTATTTATTCACCCGTATTGTAATGAAACAACGGAAGAAATTGTCTCTTATTCATGGTGACCCATTAGAAATGAAATATAAAATTTCCAGCAAAATAAGTATCCTGTAGTAGGTCACTGAACATGATAGGCAGGTGGACATCTCTGCATGCTGAAGTGTCCAAATTTTTGTCCAAATAGGTTCACTTTCTCTCCTTTACCATTGTACCTACATACATGTAGTTTTGATGAACCTAAGGGCCTTTTCATGTGGTTTCATTTAGGGTGTGTGTGTGTGTGTGTGTGTGTGTGTGTGCGGACGGACAGACAGATAGCAGCAATAGCACTTAGACTTATATACCCCTTAAAGTGCTTTACAGCCCTCTCTAAGTGGTTTACAGAGTCAGCATAATTGCCCCCAAAAATCTGGGTCCTCATTTTACCCACCTCAGGAGGATGGAAGGCTGAGTCAACCTTGAGCCTGGTGGGATTTGAACTGCCAAATTGTAGGCAGTTGGCTGCCGAAGTAGCTTGTAGTACTGCACTGCGCCACAGAGGCTCTGATAGATGATAGATAGATAGATAGATAGATAGATAGATAGATAGATAGATAGATAGATAGATAGATAGATAGATAGATAGATAGAAAGATGAAGAGATTGAGATAGAGAGAGAGAGATGATAGATAGATATATAAAAACAGGTTTACCTAAATATAATTCTAAGCTGCTAACTCAGAAGGTTTGTACTAGTCAGGTATTCATGTCTGAGAGTTGGACTCTTGAACAAATTATCCAGATTTGTTCCTGTGTCCTGAATAAATTAGCCTTAGATCTGAGGGATCCTTGGTGCCTCCTGAGCTTGGTTGTTTTCTTGTAGATGCTTCATTAACCTAAATAGGTAACATCATTAGTGCTAGTCTGATGATATTATACCTAGTTAGGGTAATGAGACATCTGCAAGAAAACAAACAGAGAGTGCCAAGGACCCCTCATTTCAACCCTGAGCTACAAATACTCTCCTTTATTGGTAGCCTTAGATCTAAATAGTACCAGCTAACTTACCATAAGCAACTTATAATCATGGGAATCTGACTTATACTGAGGCAGACTTGAATTAATCTCGCCTACCATTTTCTACTACTGGGATGTTGGGAGGCTCAGTCAAGTATCTGTTCCTTTTATCTGGTCTTTCTCATTGGAACCAAATCACAGATCTCCGCCTGTAAACAATCATAGTATGAAATCAGTGCAGGCAATGTCAGCTCAAGGTTATATGGTGCGCCAAGTCCACCTTGGCTGATGGCACCAGGCATGAGCCAAGCAAAGAATTGCATTTTTAGAATGATTCAAAAGGAAAGGTGATGTTGTGAAGCCCTTAGGTTCCTCCTGAGACGAATAAGTTCACAAGAAGGAGCGTCTAACCTTCACTACCCTTCTAGTTCACAAGAGCTCCAATTTCACAGAGGCGTCAAACTTGTTGAAACTCTCCAACGTTGCTATACATCTATTAATGCCTTGAAACATATGCAGAATTAAAATTGATGGCCCTAAAATTTCCAGTTAAACATAAGCTCTCGGGGAATATAACAGCCTCCTTCATTTTTTATTTTTATTTTTTGCAGTCAGATGACAAGTCTGTGTAGATACTCCTTTAATTCACAAGGGTGAACAACAGTCTGTGGTGTAATTTCAGGGAGGCTCAAATTGGCATTAAACGTGGGAAAATAGCCAATGCCTCCTGTGTGTGCTGATTTTTTTTTAAATTAGAGACAATCTGGGTTGCCAGAGAAGTTATAAAGCTCAGAACATTCTCTGCAGATATCCATGGAAGGAAACAATGATAGAACATGATCTGAAGTGTGTGTGAGAGAGAGAGTGTGGGGGAGGGGCAAATGAAATGAGAGAGTTCTAGTACTGGTGTTAACATAGAACTAGAACCCTTGTACTATATCCGTGATGGTGAACCTATGGCATGCATGCCAAAGGTGGCACGCAGAGCCATTTGTGCCAGCACATGAGCTACAGGCAAACTTACCTCACTACACATGCACATGCCTCACAGCTGATTTTTCAGCTGGTTTGAGGCCTTTTTCGGTCTCCCAGAGGCTTAAAAAAAGCTTCTGCAGGCTTTGCAGGCCGAATAATAAGCCCATTTCATCATTTCCTATAATACCGGAAATGAGAAACGGGCCTATTATTCGTTCTGCAAGCCCGCAGAGGATTTTTTCAAGCCTCTGGGAGGCTGAAAAAGGCCGCAAACTGGCCAAAAATCAGCTGTGAGGCGCAGTGCAGATAAGGGGGCAGCGTGGGGAGGATTGCATGCGTATGCGCAGGGGGCATGGGGGAGGCACGCATTGCCTTCTGGGTGCTGGCATGTGAGTACGCAAGCGCAAGCGCGCACACAGTTTTTGGCACAGGAGCCCCAAAAGGTTAGCCACCACTGTACTATATCATCATCTTTTAACGACCCCATAATCCCTTGTGGGGTGGAGTCGAGGCAACTGAATGGAGCTAGCAGAGTGTTTTAATGGCCGGATGCCCTTTCTGTCACCAATGCGGAGTTTTGTTCAGCAGATATATTCTCAGTGCGCCCAGGGAGAGAAATGTCTGCCTCTACCCTTGTACTTTATACATTTATAAACTCATGGTTGTGTCAACACACAAAGAAAACAGACAGCAGAAAAAGATCTAGTGGTCCATCAAGCTCCTCTTTGAGTTTGTTCTTTGTTTTCTTTTTAATACATTTATTATTTTGTAATACAGGCAGTCCTCCACTTATGACCGCAAAGGAGCCCAGAATTTATGTTGCTTAGTGAAACATTGGTCAAGTGAGCTTTGCCCCGTTTTATGACCTTTCTTGCCACAGCTGTTAAGTTAGTAACATGGTGGTTGATTGAACCTGGCTTTGCCGTTGACTTTGCTTGTCTGAGGGTTGCAAAAGGAGATCAGATGAACCTGGGATACTGCAACCCCCTCATGAATATGAACCAGTTGCCTAGTATCTGAATTTTGATCAGGTGACCAAGGGGATGCGTCAACGGTTGTGTGAAAAACGGTCATATGTCACTTTTTTCAGCGCCATTGCACCTTGGAACAGTCACTAAATGAACTGTTGTAAGTTGATGACTACTTGTATTCTATTTTTAATGTTTCCAGAATGTTTTTATCTATCTCTTCCTTTCTCCTTTGGTCAGTCCTGAAATTAAATTACATTCTGTTCCTCTGCCTCCCACAATGCTAGTTACCCCGTGTGTCCAGGAATCAATAGTTTCTTTACGAAATGGGCCCACTATTCCAAGCTGAAAAATACCATTTTTCTGTTTAGAAAGAATATATTCTGCTATCCACCAATAACCTCATTCGCTACAGCAGGACCTATGCCGGGCCCTTCTTTTTGGCTGGCAACCGCATACTTCCTACAGCATCTTAATTCATTAACTTGAATCTTAATTTTCTACACTAAATGTGGAGCTCTTGTCTCACAATCAGAAGGCGATGTGTTCGAACCTAGGTAGAAGCAGATATTTCTCTCTCTGGGCACAATGAGAATATATATCTGCTGAACAAAACTCCACATTGGCGACAGGAAAGGCATCCGGCCATTAAACACTTTGCTAGCTCCATTCAGTTACTCACAATCCACCCTGCAAGGGATTATGGGGTCATTAAAAAATGATGATAATTTTCTATAATGATGTTATAGTATGGTGTAACAGTTTACCTCTACCGTTTTAATCACTAAATAAGGCAGTGGTTCTCAACCAGTAGTCCACGGACCCTTAGGGGACAACAATGCCATTACATTGGGTCCATGAAGATTTGAAGAAATGTTATGATTTAAATCTTGAGTTAAGTCTTGGTGGTCCATGACCACAAAAGGTATTTAAAGGGAATCCGTGGTAAAGAATAGATTGAGAACCATTGAAATAAGGAAATAACTGCATTATTTTCATTATACATATATCTACTTAGTGTCAGTTAGCCATAATCATAAGCTGATTATGATGTTTTAGACAAGTGTTTCTCAACCACAGTGACTTTTAAAGACGTGTGGACTTCAACTCCCAGAATTTCCCAGCCAGCAACACTGTTTTTAAATATTTCCATGAACCAAACTTTCACTATCTTTGACCTAGTATCTGCCAAGACTGGTAATAAATCATCATCTCCTCTTCCGGAATATGTATTAAAGATAAGACTCTCTGAATTTCTTATTTACTAAAGGAAATTACAGTACACTAATCAAATAATTTAAAAGTAGGTATATTTATATGCAAAAGAAGTTGCCATTTTGGGATGCCGATCATATGACCTCTACTCCACTACTTAATGGGTTAAACACAACAAGATTTATAGAATTAATTCAGATTTTCCTGGAGGAAACCTTTTGTAATTCTAAGATTTCCGTGAATACCAGGTCTTAATTTAAAGTGTTCATTCTACAACTTAGTGCATCATCTGCGTCTTTGTAATAAATAATATTTGCCTCCTTTGCTTATATGTAAGGTAAGACAGTGCTGTCCTGCTAAAATTTAAAGAGGACAGAATTGCCAAAGTCTGCATTTGCACGTACAGCTAGTCCTCAAGTAGTGGCTACTCATTTAGCCACCATTTGAAGTTGGCATGAAAAAAGCGACTTAAGATTGGTTCACTCACTTATGTTCAACATCCCCATGGTCATGTGATCAAAATTTGAGTATCTGGCAACCAGCATGTATTTATGATAGTTGCAGACCATCTGACCATCTGATTTCTCTCTGCGACCTTCTCAGAGGTCTTTGGTTATGACAAGCAAACTCAGATTCACTTAATGACACCATGTTTTGCTTAACAACCATGGCAAAAAAAAAATCATACAATCGAGCGCAACTAAATTACCTTCTTTCTTAGCAATAAATGGCAAGTTGTGGTTGTAACTCAAGGAATACCTGTATGGGGCAAAATGAGGCCAAGTTTTACGGAGTGACCATATTATGAAGACCTTCTCCTATCTGGACTTAGGCTTTGTCGATGGGGAGACCGGTCTATTTTAATCGTGTAGCACTGTGTCCTTTGTGGTGGTAGTTGGTGACCCAAATGATGCTGAATTATTAGTGAAATCAATGCAGCAAGTTGTCAGAATTAATTTATGTCCTATTGATTTTAATAGGGTTTTAGCGTGGCTTGGATTTGTGCCAGGGAATATAGGCACGCTAAAATCCCACTGAACAGAAATCTTCGGGTTTAGTTCCTGGGGCTGCGTGCTGTTTATATAAACTAATCTATGACGTCCGCTTGACTAGTATATTTTTTAAATTTAGCAGCTTGTTTAATGTTTTTACTTGCATCAACCACAAATAATAATAATAATAATAATAATTTATTGCCATTGTACGAATATACACAGTATACCCATACAACAAAATTCACATAACACCCAGAGACCAGGCCCAACACACACACATGAAAATCCCCAAACATCTCCCCACTCACCAAAATTCCCTGTCCCCTAAGAACACACAAATATTCACACAACAGACCAAGTAATACTGTCCAACAGCTCACTGATGGTGGTCCCTAAGTTCATTGTTAAGTGCAATTACAGCTCTGGAATAAAAACTGTTCAGAAAACGTGTGATCTGAGTTTTAATTGCTCTGTATCTTCTGCCAGAAGGCAACAGTCCACAAAGATTGTGAGCAGGATGGGAAGAGTCTCTGAGAATGTTGTGAGACTTATGCAAAATGATTGATGCAAGTAAAATGTTATATTTAGTTTAGGAATCAAATAAATGGCATTCATGTTTCATTCAGCACTTGCCTGCTCTTCTTGGTCCATGCTGAAATGTTCACATCAGGTTTAAAGTTTAGATTGTTTCCTTCTGTTGTCCCTCAGCCATGCTGACCTTCTACTTCCTTTCGGCATTCACAAGGCATGCAGATTGGTGTGATGGAAAGTGCTGTTCCATGTATCTTCTAGGTTGTTTCCCTAAAATATCCCAAGAGCCCCAAATGGAGGAAAAGTAACTGATTCTTCTTCTAGGTCCAGCCGCCTGTGCGTGAGAATACAGAAGACAGAAGCATTGCCAGGCTGGATGAAGGCTTAGATGAATTCTTCACCAAGACGGTGATTCATGAATATTTACTGTAAGTAAAGACTCTGTGGAGGCATTTCCAACAAGTGATAACCGGGTGGTAGGCATAGATTTTCTGCAGAACAGGGGATGGAAAAAGGTAGTAACTTTGAGGAACAGGAGGAAGAGCTTCAACCAAAACAATATTTAGATCAGGGGTGTCCAACCTTCGCAACTTCAAGACATGTGGATTTCAGCTTCCAGAATTCCCCAGCCAGCCATGATCAGGTAAAAACAAGGGTCATCAGCATTATATGCTGATGATAAATGTTGTTATTGTTGAAGTCCTTTGATGTAGGAGAAGAGATGGTAGAAACTAGGGGTGGAGTGAAAAGGGAGATCAGCCTAGAATCCCTATGGAGTCATAAATGAGTGACAATGTCAAGCCTTATGAGGGAACAAGCAGAGCAGTTTGCCTGGCTTCTACTGTATACGTAATAAATGTCTGTGTTTTGGGGCTATGTATGCAAAGCTATTCTCCTTAATACCTATCCCCTCCCAGGCCTTGGTGAATGGAGGTGTAGGGCTGGTTTAGAAGATCTTCAAGGTCCTTCCAACCCTAAGATTCTATGTCCTATGTTCTCATCTCTGTCAGAAATAGTTTGATCATATTAGCACCAATCTTGTTCTTCTTCCAAATAATACATGCAAAACTTTATGGACGTATTTTTGGCAACGGTGACCTACCTACTTAATCTCTTCATTCATTCTCCCCACCTCATATAATATTGCAAGTAATTCCATGCTTCCTTTCCTTCCCGCAGTCCTACTTCCTTGGAAACCTCTCCAACAGCTGCCGCATCACCATCTTCTGGTTCTCGGACCTTGAAAAAGAAAATCGGACACTTCTTTGCCTTCAAGAAGCCAAGGTCAAGTCGAGGGACCAAGTCCGAGAAAGACTCTGAGGGGAGCCCCTCACCAGCAAGAGGCAGGAAGTTGATGCTCAGTGACATTTTAAGGACCCCTAGCAAAGCCAACGACTCGGCCAAAGCGCTAAGCAAATCTGAGGAAGGGGGGCTGGCTGGGGAGAACAGAGGCTACCTGGACCAAAGCCAGACACCAGATAGTGCTCGTAGGGCCAGGCCAAAGTATTCCAGAGAAGGGAAGTCTCAGTCTTTGATACTCTTGTCAGGAGAAGAGACAGAGGGACTTGGTGTGAGGCATGAGAAGGTGAGTCTCTTCTTTGATGTCATTGGTAGCTCTGTGGTTATTTGTTCCTCTTTCCTTCCTCCATGGAACTCAATATTTAGGCAATTATCCCGAGATAATTGTCTACTTTATGGAAGAGCTATAGGGAAATTGTAGGAGAATTGTCTTCCCCACCTGGTGATGTCATAGAACTCATGGCATTTCAAGGAGGCCTCTTATTCAACAAGGCGTGGTGGACAGGGTTGAACCTTCAGAAGATGCCCTGGAATTATCATCTCTGCTTATTACATGAAGAATCCATTTTCTCTGAGAATGGAAAGTAGGACATTGTTGGCAGAGGGAACTTGTCAATGAGAAGTTGGTAGGTTCACCAACCAACCCAACTGGACTTCTCTGGGCCTATGGTTTTCAGCAGTGTTATATGGGAGTCGTTGGGATGTGTCCTTTTGAGGGTGTTGATTTTCTGGTTGTGTGTGAAGGGGACCATTGTGGACATGCAACAATATTTAGGCAATTATCCCGAGATAATTGTCTACTTTATGGAAGAGCTATAGGGAAATTGTTGGAGAATTGTCTTCCCCACCTGGTGATGTCATAGGAAACAGCAAGTATGGTGATAGCAGCTCCCAAGTTTACTGAACAATGCTTACTGTAGAAACAGAAGAATGATATTTCTTGGTGTCTCAAAACAGAGAATGAAAGTGGACGGAATTGAATGTGATCTGGATGGCAGCAATGATGGTTTGTGAAAAGCGGCATCTCTACTTAAAAAGGAGAATATTTGTAGCTCAGGGTTGAAATGAGGGCTCCTTGGTTCTGTCTGGACTTGGTTGTTTTCTTGCAGATGTTTCCTTACTCAGACTAAGTAACATCATCAATGCTAGTCACTAGCACTAACCCTGATGTTACCTTGTTTAGGTAATGAAACGTCTGCAAGAAAAAAACCCAGTTCAGAGAGCACCAAGGACCTCTCTCTTGGCTTGTTTGTGTTCGTAGCAGAATCCCAGAGGGTTGATTTCAGAAAAGATCTCCCCTGGAAATGGAAAAAAAAAATCAGTGTGGCAGTTGTGTTAGTGGGTGTGAAATAACTATGGCTTCTGATGTGTGAATCAAAGTAATATTTATTAGATAGATGATAGATAGGTAGATAGATAGATAGATAGATAGATAGATAGATAGATAGATAGATAGATAGATATAGATATAGATATAGATATAGATATAGATAGATAGATAGATAGATAGATAGATAGATAGATAGAATTATTTATTGGCCAAGTGTGATTGGATACAAGGAATTTGTCTTTGATGCATATGCTCTCAGTGTACATAAGAAAAAAATAAAAATAAAAATGCATTCATCAAGAATTGTAAGATACAACACTTAGTTATAGTCATAGGTTACTAATAAGGTGTGTTAACTTTCAATGCTTTGCCCCACAGAAGCGATCCTTTGAGAAGAGCGATGGTGAGCTGCCCAGTTCCTTTGAACAACGTGTCCATGTCATGTTGCATCGGATTGGGGTCACCAAGGTGTTGTCTTCTGAAGGCAAAAAGAAACAGGTAAGGAAGAGAATGTTGCACATTTTCCTGAGCAAGATTAGAACTCACAGCCTCCCAGTTTGTAGCCTGGTGCCTTAACCGCTGCATCAACCGGGCTCTCTGTACTCTACTGTACCCTTTTCCAGGAAGTAAAACCCACCAGCCAAACTAGGCCTAAACATGCAGGGATGGCGCAGTACCAATTCTGAAAGATCTCCATTTGCCAGTCAGTGTTACCTTTCAGGTGAAATGTTTTCCTATGGGTTGTTGTGGAAGAAAATGTTCCAGAATAACCTTCTATTGTAGCCTCTTGCTTGACTGATATTCTACCTTCCTGAGCAGAGAGCCTGAGGAGTTTGCTCATGGATATTAGTTGACAGAATTATTCCAGATCAGCCTATCCTACCCAGTGCCCTCCGTCGTGCTGTGCTAGAAATTTGTAGAACTCTGAGCTATGTTAGAAGATGCCAAGATTAAGAAAATAGTTCTTTTGGCAAAAAAAGGTGAGGGGTGCGGATCTGTCTGATTCCAGGAAACATTTGGAATCCATCACTAAATGAGCATTGAATGTAATAATATAAAAGAACAATACATCTAATAGAATAGAAATAGAAATAAGAGTAAAGTAGGAATAGAATGGAATGGAATGGGATAGGATAGGATAGGATAGGATAGGATAGGACAGGACAGGACAGAACAGAACAGAACAGAACAGAACAGAACAGAATAATAGAGTAGAATAGAGGAGAGTAGAATAGAGGAGAGGAGAGGTGTGGAGAGGAGAGGAGAGGAGAGGAGAGAAGAGAAGAGAAGAGAAGAGAAGAGAAGAGAAGAGAAGAGAAG